TCTGTTGACTCTAGAACTGGCACAAGTCTCTTTATTCAGTGATAATATGTTATTCTAGCTAAGCAAGATTAATGTAAAATTGCCACTAATTAAAGGTTACAAGTCACAGAGATGGAATACTTCCCTCCTTGCTATTTTGGGAGAGTGGTCAAAAAGCATTAAGTTTAATCATCTCATCCAGTAGTTGGAAAGACAGAGCTATACTATAGCCTTGATAACCTGTACAGGCCAAATTACAGACATTCTACCTAGATAAATTCAGAAGAGAATAAAGCCAGATAACAAGAAGTCATGTCACACTATAAAAACAATGTCCTTTATTTTGGCATGAACTTTTCTTGGAAACAACCAGCTTTATCAGACACATGTGGCAAGCCAACAACATATTTGTTTGTATGCAGACGGTCATCTGTTCCATCTCTTATTTTTAAATGCTAATAACAGGCAACTGGGGTAGAGGGGTGGAAAGAGAATTGATGGCCTTCATGATTCACTGAAATAGAGTTTAAACTTTTCCCTGTTCTTGATAAAAAATTGTCTCCCCACAGAGCTGCAGGAAGGAGGTAATTTGTGAGGATGGTAGTATAGGAGGAAATGTTTTTAAAAGTACCTTCCAGTTTTGAACAAAATCCTTCACCTATCTTATTAGCAATTAAAAGCAATGTTATGGCTGCTAGACAGTATCTTGGATTGTTGGGATCCCCAACTATGAGTTGGAAAAATTGCTCCCATCTTGCAGCTGGGATCCACATTTCTATCTCCTTTACCACTCTGTAGTCAACATGAAAAGAACAGTGACAACTGCATTTTCAAGAATGTAAAAGTGTTCTCCAGTACAGGCTTTCCAGTGTACAGGGAAAATACCATCACTACTAAGATACAACATATACTGGCTGTACCTCAACTTCCTTCTGTCCTGCTCTGAGGCACCATACTTAAGATGACTCAGGGCACAAGAGTGTGGTGGCAACCCCTGTCTCCAACTCACCCCCTCCCTATGTAGGATGCACATAATTTTTCATGTTCAGCAACTCAACTACATTGAGTGCTAAACCAAAAGTACATTTCATGTCTGATTCTGAATCACTTCATCTATCTCAACACATCCTCTTACAGTGGAAAGAACATGTTCTGGTAAGAGCAATCAAATCTGTAGTATTGTTATAGCAAATCCCTGAATTCCCACAAGGCTTCACACTTACATTTAAGCCACGCTGAGATGAATAGCCTCGGCTTGCAAATATTAACGCCTGAAAACAGAAGTTATTTTTAGTAGGCCATGACTATTACCTCTATGTCAAACTTATTGTTTACTGACTAGAAAATACCAAGGACCCCTGTATTTTTTGTCTTGCATATTTTAAAGTTGGCAGCAACACACATAACAGTAAATTTTTGGAACACTCCAAAGCTTCAAAAATTTCTTTTTACCATGTAAATTGAATGCATCAACAGTAATTTGTCATAACTCCGTGAAGAATTTTCAAATGTATGACTTTGCAAAGATCATAATATACTTGTCAGTTAAACAATAAGGCTGTATTTCACATGTTTCATCATACACACTGGTGTTTATTTAACCCTTTGATCCTAAGACTGTTGTCCCTTTTTGCATTTTAGGTGAACAAATACTAGCACTGAGTGAATCTGCAATTTTTAATCCCTCTGTTTTATGTACTCTGTTTTTGCTACACTTAACAGTGTCACACAAAGATGAGGATACACCAGTGTTTCCTAGTTAGCTATCTTTTAAAAAACTTCCTGCATATTCACATTGTTTTAGGAGAGCTAATTGCTCTTTGATGCAAGAGAAAGATTAAAAATTATTTTGGATGTAAGAGGACCATGAGGCAACCACCTCAACAGGTGATTCTGGGAACCATTAAAGACACCAGAATGGAAGGTATTATCCACCAGGGAAATCTCCCATAAAAGCCCCCGTTAATGTGCTTTAAACAAGATAGTATCTTAGGAATCACATCTCATATTTTTAGCAAAAAGAGGAAAGAGGGGATACTATTTGGATTTTTCATTTTGTGAAACAAAGTATCTGGCACTGACCCTGCTGCAGGCAGCTCCTATGCCTTAAAGGGTGGAACAAAGCATGCAAGAAGAATTAGGCACAACAGAATGCAAGGGGCACTATTAATAGCAACACACAGTTTTTAAAAAAAATGAATAGGGAATATATTTTTTAAAGGTAAAAATTCAAAGCACACGTAATCCTAGAGTCTATCCTCACAATGACCTCAACAAATCATCTGACAGGTAGCAGGAGCACCACTTAAATCTCTACTCGACATCTAGATGAGTGGTAGAACAGAGGTTCTGGATTAGACCAAATCAGCATGGGAAGGCCCATTCATCAAAGCAAATGAAACCACCCGATTTAATTTTTTTTTTAATAAAGAGAAGCAAGTAAAACGACCCCCTCTAATCATCAACATAGAAGTGAAACTACAGCTTCCCCAGGAACACATTGCTTTTTAAACCAGAAAAGACTCCAACAGAATGATCCACCCCGCATTCCGTGAAGTGGTCCAGACCAGAACTGTGGCGCTAGGCCGTTTCTTCCGCCACTCCGTGTCCCGCGCGAGCGATGGGGAGCCGGCCACGGATTGTCACGGGCCCAACGACACACGGAGAGCCAATGTGGCGCCAAGGTTAGGCTGCTGGACTAGCGCTGGGGAGAGCCGCGTCCGAGCCCCCATTCGGCCACGAAGCGCACAGGATGCCTTCGAGCGCCTCACCGGCTCAGCCTAGCCTACCTCACAGAGTTGCGAGGAGGAAGGCTACGCAATCGCCCCCGGCCCCTTTCAAGAGGCAGAAGGGCGGGGTATAAGAAATGAGTGCATGCATAAACGGACGAACGGGGATCCCCTCGCAGCGCGGCTGCCGCCCCTCAGGTGGGCCCACGCACACCCTCTTTCTCGCCCACCCTTTAATTTCCCCAGGAGAAGGCGGCGGCCAGGCGCCAGCGGGAACTCCGAAGCCGCCATAAGCCAGCTCGACTCTGCGCGAAGGGTGGAAGCCGCGAAGCCCGTCGCGCGGCCTTCCCCTCACCCGAAGCGTCTTCGGCACCTGCCGTGCACCAAACATGTCTGCCCTCGGCTCGCCTCGCCTCAGCAGCAGCAGCAGCAGCCCTGAAAAACCCCTCAGCTGCCACGACGACCCCACGAGCCGCGCCGTCACCTTCAACCAGCACCAGCGGCCGCACGCCTGGGCCCGCCCCACGCGCACGCCGCCCACTCGATGCGGCCAATCAGGCGCAGGAATGGCGGCTCCGTCACTCCATCCCTGCCCTCCAGGTTTGCGGAAAAGGGGGCGTGGCATCCCCAGCCGGAGATCTATTGGCTGGCAACGCAAGAGCCGTCAGTCTTAAGAGGCGTGGCTCGACCAGACATGAACGATTCTATTGGATAGGCGCACGAGACACGCAAGAGAAACGTGGTTTGGAGGGGGTGCTTTGAGTTCTGTTGGCGCTGCACTACCGAAGGAACGTGTGAACACATATGGAATACTGGCGAGGACCCTCTCTGTCATCTGTTTACAGAAGGAGCCCGCACTGACGCTCTTTGCTGCTTCACAAAGGCGTAAAGTTAAAAGCAGATGTTCATTTTCGAAAAACAAAAACAAGGAGAGAAAAGGCTTGGAGAAATGCAAGTCTGTCCAATTTTCTGGGACTGGGACTTGCTGGAAAAGGACCGACTTTTGTCTAAATCTGCAAAGTGTTGGAGTTCCATTGTTAGAGTGTGCAATAAAAAATAAGAAATGGTCAATACGAAATTGTCTTGAGTCAACTCATCCACTAGTCTCTGATTGGCAGTAACTAGCTAGGCTTTCTGACAGGGATCTTCTTTCGTGGCTTCCCGGCTTTTGTGCAGCCTTTTTCCATTTCCAGTAGGTTGAAATACACCTCCTAAGCATTACTGGGAGCAATAGCTTTAAGCTACAATATGCTGGTTTAGCTTTGCACATGGCCAGCACTGGAAATGTGGTTCCTATGAGCTTTGCAGAAATTGAACTCAACCCTCAAGGTGTAAGAGATTCCTGGCCAAGGAATTCCCAATGAAAGTTTAGTCTGGCCACTGGTATTTATCTGGTGAACATAGACTTCAGTGATGGACCTAGAAGCATCCTTTTGTATGTGAAAGAGACCAGATGAAAACCACCGTTTTTGTCAACAGACAAGCATGCCCAAAAAGCTGCTCAATATTAGACACCACTGGTGGTGCCTTTAGTGGTTTATCCTAAAGAATCTATTTCATCTCTGTCATGCCTTTATCACAGATCTGTAAACGTGTTGCAATTAAAATATACTCTGAATGTGACCAAAAGGATACAGCTATAACTACATTACATGGTTCAGGGCATGGGTCCTCACGAACACACATTGTTGGAAGACGCTTTAACACTTAAATCAAACAACTTTAAGCAGAAGCAAAATAATAACAATAACAATAACAATAACAATAACAATAATAATGGCTTTTACCAATATGGATCACTGTATTTGAAGGACCAGATGGGAATTCAGGGCATTGATCTAAAGTGGTTTCATTCCTTCTTGACTGCCTTTGGAGCTGGCCAATTTTAGAAATGCATCTGCAGTTTTCTAATGTACTCCACAGTATTCTTTCCCTCTCATTCATGTATGCAGTATCTGAATTTTCCAAAACAGAAGGTAGACAGTACTCATTGTCCAAGGGCTAGTATAAGTCTAAAAGCAGATTTGGGCGAAGGAATTCTCTACAGGACCAACTGGATGTGACGTTCACTGCAGTAAGAATACATTTCAGGCTATTACAGATCTTGGATGTTACAACAAACCTTATACTCTGGATTTCCTGTATTTCATTCCCATTTTTGAAATATTCTGGAGATAACACCAAAATATTTTGATATTTTATATTACATTTTTATTTTGCAAGAAAATAAATTATACAACTTAAAAAATAAAATCCCAAAATTAAGCAGTACATCAAAATAGTTCAGCCAGACTGCCATACAAGAAAAAACTGCTACCAGTCAAAATTGTACAGCATTATCTCAGTATGTAGTGGCACACATTCAAAACTGTAAATAACCATATGTAGATATTACAACCTAGGAAACTCATGTTTGTGTTGCACTCCAGGCTACATATAGTCTATTAACAGGAAAGCTCTCCAGTACTGGTTCATTTCACAAATAGGACTGTGAATTTACAAAGGTAGCGTCCCAGCCAGTTCCATGAAGTAGAAAATGGTTTTGCACTCAAAATACCAAATAATTCCATGAAGCTATCAAATATTTCTCTCAGCTGCATTTTTAAAATTTGTACCTTTCACTGTAATGTGAACTAATCAAACATGTTTGAATACTTAGGCCATTTTACATTGGGAAAAAGCCACCATTAAAACTTAACTTTAACTACACTATGCTCCAACAACAAGAACAGGTTTAAACAAATGAATAGGTAGAAAACAAGGGATACCAGTGGGATAAAGAAAAAAAATATGGAAGACTTCAAAATTAAGCATGAACCTCATTGTGACAATGCATTTGTATAACTATGTTTAAAATCAATGCAACCTGCATTATTTTTCTTATCTAGTATTACTTATACAAACCACAATGGCAGTGCTTGTGGCAACATACATTTTCAGAAGCAGCACCTCTTTATGCTAGGTCTTTGGAGAAAAATACCCAAAGCTAAAAATCAGCTTTAAAAGTGCTATGTTGCCATATTGCAATGAATGATAATTTCATTTATTTTTAGATTGATGTTTTCATAGTTCTGCATACATGTTTAGACCAGTATATTTTTCTGTTCCTGATAACCTTAGCCTTAAGGGCATCTTGGTGAAAGTGTCCTGACAAAGGATGCGAAACGTGATTCTGCAGCTGTAAGGAAATTGCTGGTGTGATTTTCAGATTCAGTGTTTTACATGACATCCTGCTCCAATGCACACAAAAGGAAAAAAAAACTGAACCAGGCACGTTGGCCATTATAATTCCCCGGCCACATGTAGGAAATTTGTGTGTGTATTAAGCATAAGTAATAAGAGACATTAATGAGCACTCAATATTTTCCTTCTATGTAAATGAACAAAACAGACTTATTGGCAAGATCCATACAGCCCCATGTGTGCTCCTAAAGTGCTTCCACAGGTGCATGGGGTTTTGGCAATTTTCCCTTCAAAGCACAGCCTCTGGGGCTGCACTGGACATCTCTCTTGTCTGGGGACACAAGGGACTGGGAGGGGGACGGGAATTCTGGAAAATCACAAACGAAGATCACTGGAGCCATTTAGATTCTGGCCACTAATTCCAATCTTCAAAAGTATTTGCACTGCTAGGAACTGAAAAAGGAGTGACTCCGAAGGTCAAGTGGCTAGTGTTTGAACAACAGGAAGAAATTAAATATGAGATTTAGAGCTGGTGTTGTATTTAATGTCATGCCTTACTCCCTCCATAACAGAATCGTTCTGAAGCAATACATTCAAAACACTCTATCAAAGTATTTGAAAATATGTACATACATTAAAAAAATCTTTGCCTACCCATTCCTACCTGTATATAGAAATCAAATGCAAAGTTGCAGCATGTACAAGAGACCTTTGAGGGAACCAATTTTTCTTTTCCTTTAACACCTACTGAAAGTTCGATAGTCAAGTTCAACCTTCTAAAACTCTTATCCACAAGATTTTGAGGCTGAATTTTAACAATCCTATGTTAATTTCAAAGTGATTTAAAAATATTATCATCTTTTGTATAAGTAAAATAAAATCCAGAGAAAATGAGATTTTAAATCACTGCCCATTTTCATGTACCTGCCATTTGCTTATCTATTTTGTTGCTTTCTGACACCTCAGAGTATGTCAGTTCCCCAGTCCACCCCCTAAGCATGTTGGTATATAGGGTTTGTTAAGGGTAAACTTACCAGCCTCTGTGTGTGCACTGACAGTAAATGTTTGGGGCATTATTACCTGTAAAATAAAAGAATCCTTACCAAATTCACTTTGCCCTTGTAACAGTCTGTTTTAATCTCACTTTTAAACCAATGAGCAGCAAAAGATAGAATTATTATGTGCAACTACCAGCCCCCAAAGGACAAGGCAACTAATCTGGACTGCTAAAGTTTCAAAGGTAGTTTTGTAAAGTTGCTGTCTCATATGTAAAAGCAGAAGCAGGGCACAATTAGAAACTAACTTGCCTTTTTCTATTAGATAGCCTGTTGACACTAGTAGGACTGAGGTCACCAACAAGAATCCATCTCATAAGAAGACGTTTCAGAGCAGACTGACACAGTAACTCTGCAATTGCTTAGGAAAGGATGATGGAGAGAGACATCCACCAACACTTGTTTTAATTTTGATTTACTGACCTCAGTAAAACAGATTCTACCCCAAAACAGTCCTTCACTTCTTTAAGTCTGAGGCAAATTTTTATACATGGAAGGAAATAAATGGGCACACTCCACCAGTAGGGGTTCCTACACATTCACCTAAAGCAACTGGAGATTGGCTGCAGTAATTTTTGATAGGTTAGATAACCTGGTTGGATTTGTGTCCATTTGTCTGCATATTTTTATGGAGCTGGTCTAGTAGGCCAAAGAATTGACATCTTCCACACATTTGGGGGTTTTTTTAGAGCAGAATTGTATTTAAAATGTAACATATTTTTAAATAAATAGTAAAATAAGAAATATATAGGGATTGTCAAAATGTTAATGACTATTTTAGGGAATTTGTGCATTGGTTGTTTAATTCATTCAGATTTATGCAAGCATACTAAAACAGTGAATACAAATATTAAATGTACAAAGAAATACACTTAATATTTCATTTTGTTTCAAGATAAACAGATCCATCCATGAAACAGTTATTAAAGGTGAAGCAGCACCTCTTTTTTTTTCTTTTTTTTTAAAGGAGGGGGCTGAAACAAACCACCTGTCCAAACATTTACCCAGGTTTTGTAAAAAAAAGTTACAAATTCAATAGATCCTGTTTAACTTCACTTGTGTCTCAGTATCCAAAATCCAGTTGTTATACTGAAGCACTTGCTTGAGCCAACAGATGAAGTTTTATCTTCAGCTGTGATGTCTTGCTCAAATGTTACACATAAGAGAAGATCAAAAATATTTAGGCTGTTGATCCAAAACACAAAGTGTGAAGTGCTACATCTAGTCCTATTTGCTTTATGTTTAATGAGAAAACTAACAGCAGTTCCTCAGTGCATGGATATTTGAAGGTATTTCCTTGTGCAAGTACTGTTCATCTAACCCTCACGCCCAGCCCCGCCCCTCGGTTCTCTCAGGTGGGTGCAAATCAAATCTAAAAAATTCTCACAACAGGCTCTTCGTGAATGCAAAGTTTCCCCACAAAAACAGCATGCTGTTAAAAACATGTGCAACATGAAGGGAATGCCGTCATGCTAGCTGAAAAAAAGGTTGGCAAAACAACGTCCTCTGGTAAAGTAAGGCAGGGATTTGAATATGTAATACAAGTCAAACAAGTCCTTTTTCAGCTCAGTCCCTTTTCTTGTAGTTTTGTCTGCCCAAACCACCTTCAATGCACATTTCTTGGTGTCTTCCAGGAAGAGTCTTCAAGCTATGCCATGTATATAAAAGTGTTGATATCTGATTCATCTCTTCTGATATATTTGTGTTCTATAAGCCATTCTATCTGCTCTTTTATCATTTTCTTCTGTGGCAAGAACATGTTTTTTAATATCTCTACTAGTTCAGTCTGAAGCTGAGCATTAGTAATTTTCTTCCTCATTTTCATTATTTGGATGATAGCCTCCTAGGCAAAGGAAAGGAAGAAAAAGTACTTTGGATACACAGTGTACAAGGCTAGCAAAAGAGAATCTAGTTAAATGGTTGGCAGAGAAGTCATGCACCAATTGCAGAGGCACCTATTTGTATTTTATATCAGGGCATTCATATTTTGAAAACAGAATCGCTTGTTTCAGTAAGAGAGACGATATAAATGTGGCTCCCAATGACAGCCACCTTAGATTAAGACCGCATTTCATCCCATACTTACCAGTTCAGCTGCATCCATGTGGGCTGCTTTATCAACTTGATTAGCAAACAGACAGATGACACCTCCTTGAGGGATGTCAGCCACCAGGCAGTACCCAAGTCAACATAAGCACTAACATAAATTACATTTTGCTAGAGTAGGGGACCTCTAGTAAATCACTGATAGCATTAGCTAGCACACTGGGGTTTCTGGAGAATCCCCTCACATCAGCTAACATTCTTGGCATTACTCTGGGAGCTTCCTTCCAGAGGTGCAACGTTGAAGTTAGTGCTTGGATACCACCCACTACCTGCAGGGCTGCTAGACACAAGTCAACCACCCACAGGGAAGCAACGCATTTTTGACGGGAAGAACTGTAGGAAAAACTGGAACCATGGATGAATGCCAAATGGAAGCATGGGAAACTAATTTATATTACTACATCATGTATAGTACTTTTACAAAAGTGCACCAAAGGGAGAAAAGGGAAATTTTTGTTTGAAATATACAGTTAGCCTCTCTAAGCTTATATGATAGAAATGTACACATGTACAAGCACAAGTTTCAGTTGATGACAATGAAAATAAGCTCATTGCCACTGTGCTAGTTTAGGAACTCATCTGGAACAGTAAGTTCCTGAGTTATGGCTGAAGGGGATCAACATAAGATGAATAATACCATATGGAAGCCAGGAGTTTGCAAGTGCCACTGTATGCCATACAGGATAGACTGATTATGGAAATTAAAAAAAGCATATGCATGTCAGTCAGCTGGGCAGCTGTGGGTATACATTTCCAACTCACCATACAGATTCCTGCTAAACTGAACATAAATTGGTGCAGTGCAGGACGAACTGGTATTACACAGTCTTTCATAAATGTATCATCATCTTACTGACAACACTGCCTTCCACCCACCTACCGTAAAAAGCCTTTAAGAAAGGTAAGGTGATTTTATGAAGGCTTTCCTTTTGGAGATACTGGAAGGAAGAGTTGGGTTTCTAGATGTGAACTGAAAGTTTGCAGAATATTCTCCTATATTTCACCCATTTTAGTATGTGGCTGTGAAGTCATTTAGACTGTAGGACCTTTTTGGTAGTCTATGGGTGAGTTCTGGCAACATGCCAACTCACCCTTACTGTGGGTTGTTTTTCCTTTTTGTTTCCAACAGGTCCTCCGGCTGGAATCCCAGGGTCCTGCATAGGAAGGCCCATCAGTTTCCCCCTTTCCTGTTCCTTTTTGCTCATGAATTGTTCTTACTTTCCCAAAGGCACATGCCACCACCAAAAACAGTAGTAACTTCAGTGATACAAAAGTGGCATATTGGTGCAACCCTCACTGGCTCCTTACCCTTTTTTAAAATGGGGTAAAATGTGTGGGTGGCACAAAAGGGTGGAATTTTGTTTATCTAAAATCCTTGTTCATCTGAATTTTGTTCATCTGAATCCTTGTCTGGCCAATGCCCAGGTAAACGTTGGCTGACAAAGTGCTACAGCAACATCCATCAACCTTGACCACACAAGGCTGCACACAGCTTGTTTTGCACATACGTTATAGTTGTCATTAAGTGAACTGTCAATTAAAAAGCAAAGCAGCAAAGGGTTTCTTCTGAAAGATGGTGGTGAGAACATCTTTCCCTCAGGGGTGTGAGCTTTAGTATTTTTAGTATTCCCCAGCTGTTCCCACTCCCCACCACCTTTTCTGCACTTCCTTAGCACCAAGATACTCCAGATGGGAGATCCACATTTCACCCCCTTGCATGAGCATTTTCTTTTGAAAGCTGTTCTTTTCTTTCAACATATCTAGAAAATTAGTACATTTATACACAAATACATGAATGCACATTAATGTATGTATTAATTAAATATGAAGTCATAATCTCTGAGAACTCAGTCTCTTTTTGTGTTGAACATGAAGACCCATCTAGCATGACCAGCTATGTCTCTCCAGAGTCTCAAAGGCTTTTCTTAGCATTCACTAGGTGAGAGCTTTTAACCAGAGGGCCCAGAGATTAAAATTGGAACCTTCCATACCCAAATGTTCTACTTCTAAATTACAGCTCTCTCCTGCTCTGTATATTCGACAGTTATGAGAGTTGTGACTATTCCATGCTAAAATATAACTGTTGAACCCAAGTAATCTAAACACTGCAAGCTATGCAACTTATATACACTTTTCCAGTGTACATATTCTTTCCTTTAATCTTGTGGTTAATAATAGGGAAGGAGAGAGAATATTAATGAAACATCACTCCCAACCACTGACAAGTCATACCAACCATTACTCCAGCTTTTTAAAAAAGCATGACCACATACTTTCAAGCACATCTTAGCAGCCATAAAGGCAAGAGCTTTTTAAAAAATGTTAACATGATAGCTGAGGTTCTCAGGAAATTGAATTCTGCTTATGCTGTCATGGAATTGCAACACACACATCCCTGATCATTATTAATCTGCGACAGTATTTCAAATCATTCTCCTTCTTATTTAGCATGCACTGAAATCTGCTTGGACATGTTGCCCCACTCAGCTTTCTAACTCAGTGCTAAACTAATTTTCATACACCTGCATTGTGGAGTCCTTTTGATCACAAAGTGAGGTAGTTAAATATGAATGTCCACATCTTCCAGTCTCAGTTCTATTCGTCATTTACTTAGATACACCGTGAAGGAAGGGGTGGCAATCAGGCTGTCAGGTACAGAGGCACTCTAGATTTGTCAAAAGCCTGTCCATCAATCATATCTATTAAGTTCTAGTAATTTCAAAAAGAGAAGCAGAAGTAGAGAACAGTATAAAGTTATACTGGCTTCTTTACATACCTGGGTTCGTAATATTCTTAACTGAACTATCCCTTCATTTTCCTCTTCTCTCATTCTTTCTGTAGTTAGTTGGAGTCTACCAATTAGGTTTATCTTACCTCTCTTCTGAACTTTAGCATTTTTTCTGAAAGAATCAAACAGAAGAGAATACAAAAACATAGGAAATGTTAAGATCCTACTTTATATTCCTAGTCCTACTTGGCAGAAGTTCACCAAGAAGTAACATAGCTAATTCCAAGTCTTAATTCCCAAGAACCGTTAAATGGAGACACTAGGAATTGACTCTGCACCTTCTGATCCCTAGTCTTAATGGGTTGTAGGCAGGCTGCCAAAGTATTTTAATTCAAACAAGTGTTAAATTGTTTTTTTTAATAGGCTGTCTATCCTTTTCTTTTTAAGTTGCTTTTAAGTGATAGCTTTTAAAATTTTTATTGCTTTAAGTCATTATGGTATTAAAATATATATTTATGTCCGTAAATAGTATTGAGAAACCTATTGATAGCTAAAAGACAGTATATGATAAACAAACAACATGCATTCTATCACTATAAATACCACAAATGCTAAACAGTTGTACTATGTTTACGGTGCTCAAAGTACACACATCATCCTGTATTTTTATAAGCAAGCTGATAAAGTAAGCTGATACTGTTATTCTCACACTGTTGATACTGTTAGCTGCCTGGAGATCTTTGGTTATTAAGCAGCATACAAATAATGAAAATATGGATGGGGGGAGAGACGCATTCAGAACATGGTGCTAGAGGAGCGCTTTCCAAGTATTCCAGACCAGTGATTACCAACTCCCTAGGGGCACTGGAAAGATCCATGGAAGCAGTGATTGGTTATTTTAAATTTGCAGAAGAGCAAAAGCCCTAGTACAAAGAAAGAGTAATGGGGCACAAGGATTGTTTATATTCTTTATATTCTTTTTGGCGCCAGGTGAAAACCTTTTTATTGAATGTTGTTTTAGAATTAGTGATTTTAGAAGCTAGCAGTTACTTTTTACTTTTATCTGATGTATTTTTCCTACTTTTTATTATTCCTATTTATTGTTTATATACTGATGTTTTATTGTTGTTTTAATGTTGTAAGCCATCCTGAGACATTGTCGTAAAGGATGGCATATAAATGTTTTAAATAAATAAACAAAATTGTTGCCCAAGAGGAAAGGGGGCAGCAGCCTGAAAATTTGGGGGACCACTGCTCTAGACCTACAAAAAGATGAACGATGGTGTCCGCAATTACATCAAGCCAGAATTTTCCTCTGAAGAAAAAATGATGTAACTGAAGCAGTGATACTTCAGGCACATCATGAAAAGGCAAGACTCACTGGAAAAGACAGTAATGCTGGGGAAAATCAAAGCCAGGAAAAAAAGAAAAAGAAAACCACCATCCTTTATGGATTATTTTCATAAAGGAAGTCACTGCCCTGAATTTTTACAAGAGTTGAGTAGGGCTGTCAAGGACAGGGCATTTTAGAAAGCAACTTTTCCCCTCAGCAGGAAAGCTATTAAGGTGGTGTGCCTCTGGAGGTTAATGGATTCAGATGATTCTCATGGGCCCTGGGGAATTTTCTTGCTGATATGGCTGGTGGTTCTGCTGAAACCCTGGTTGATCTCTGGAATACAGAGATGATTCAAGCAGCTGACACAGAGCTCCTATATCTGTGGCATAACCTGGAATTGAGAGTAAAGGAAATGACCTGAGGGGTGATGGAGGTGCATGAGTAGTGGAAGGTGTTCCAACTATTCTGGATAGGGGTGCACTCCCCTTGAAGCAGCAGCTTTGGAGTGCTCATTGATCCATCTTTGTCAGAGTGCCTTTCACCAGTTTCAGCTAATAGCCCAGCTAAATCTCTGTCTGGATAGGGACTACAATACCCAATGAAACTTTTCTTCCAATCACAATATACCTGGTCACAATGTTGAACGTCTGAACACCACCTCTGAGGGAGGCTCGGGCGGTGGCAACAAGGAGGGCATTCTTTGTGGTAGCCCCCAAATTATGGAATGATCTCCCCACCAAGGCCTACCTGGTGCCAACCTTACTATCTTTTCAGCCCAGGTTAAGACACCCTCTTTGCCAAAGGATTTACCAACTTCAAATAGTACATGAGATTGGGAATATTGCCAGCTTTTTTCTTTTCTTTTCTTTTCTTTTTTGGCCTAGCAATATGGTCTGGTTTCAGTTTAGTTAAAATGTATTTCTAATTTTTCATGTAATTTTATTATTTTGTTATTTTTATATTGTATCGTACTGTATTTATTAGTTGTTGATCACTGCTCAGAGAACTCTGGCAGTACAGAAAACAAAACAAACTAATGGGATGTCACAGACTTCTTTTGAACACCATTCAGCATTTCGCTTCACCTACAACAACCTAATTAAAGTCCTGACTGGCAGCATGCTTAGCCAATCGGAGTTAAGAAGACAGACCTCAACGGTGCCAGACAAAGGCAAGTCATGGTATACATTCAGGGAATTCTCAAGGAATGGAAGTACTAATGGAGAGGATGACAGGGCTCACATGGCCATGTGTTCTATAGATAAGCTTTAGAATATGGGCCCTTATTTTTGCAAATGCGTAATACTTACTGGGACTTTTCACTAGCAAGGAACACATAAGCAAAATAGCTGTAACTTGCAAAGGAAGCTGCAGGAATGTGCACACGCATTTGGATTTTAAAGAATCTAAAGATAAGTAAAGGTAAATCCTTATCCTCAAGAAAGGTCTCGATAAAATATTTTTGACAGAACAATCATAAAAGACTTCCAAGAACATTTGGATGACTGAACTGTATGCGCAATAAAATGAACAACATTCATACAATGTGAGGTGACTAAAACTTTTACTCTAAATAATAGTAGAAATAGGTAAATGCTAACAAGTCAGGCATACATTTTATTCTGCTATACCTCAAACATTAACTTTTAGAATATCAGGTCTATTACATATTAAAACTTTTCTTCTATAAAATATTTAGGGAACAAGCCAATATTACATCTTACATTAAGCTGAATTCCTGGTTCACTGAGAAAAGAGTTCCTTCTGTAAAGTCTTTGGGTGAATTGACTTGAGGTTCATATAATAAAACCTGACGTTTCAACTTCGGAAATGCTACAAGAGACTGGTGAAAAGACAGAGATGATGAAAATAAGTAGTTAGTCTTCATTTTAACCAATTGTTGAGGCCAAACCTTTATTGCATATGCGAACGTGGTTTCCTAAAGTTAAAAAGACACAAATACTACTGATATCTGTCCTTAATTCTCTCTTACAACATCCTTAGCAAATAGAAAAAAGGATGGGGAAAACTATATTTGAAGATCAGACTAAACTGTAGTTTAGCAGATGAGGAAAATACCACTGAGAGCCTTGGACTCATGTAGAACCCAATTTTGCAGCACAAAAAACAGTAGTAAATGTTAATTATAATGTGTTTAAATAAGCTAGCTTTACGTATAACCTACTATTTGAAGATGGATTGCTTAAAACAAACCACAGTTAATATTAATCAAAGTCAGTTGGTTTGGACAAAACAGTAAGGAAAAACATTTTGGCAAAAACAGAAGCAAAGATTTCTAAAGTAGCTGTGCAAGCAAGAGAAGACAGGAGGAAGAGAGTGTCAGACCTTAGGTTTGATGAAACTCTTTCTTATCACACTAAATTATGGTTTCATTCATATGAATGTAGGATGTGGTTTCTGTCCAAATTTGTTGTCATGAACCTATAATAAAGCTGTTGAATATGCTGCACGTACCCACAAAGTTCGCCTAAGCTCAGCATCGGGCAGTTCTGTTGCTAATTTAAGATTTTCAAAGCTGATCTTCTCTCGGGGTCTTTGGTTCCACGCAAAAAGCACAGCCAGCTGAAATGTGGTTACCTCCAAGTCATACTGGCCAACTTCATTCTTAAAAGTTATCTGTAAAAAGGAACAAAAATCAGTCACCAACTGTACTTAAATGCAAACATGTTTCTAGCTCACAGAAGCAAAGTATATTTTTGTTGTACACCACCCAGAGTGGTGGTACAGAAATGAAACAATAACAATAACAGCAGCAGAAGCATATTTAAATAAACTGAAGAGACTGACATAGGCATACATACAATTCCATTGGACATAAGATGATGCCAGTGAAGCTTCCTGCCACTGTGGTTCTTTTTGTAGAACTCTTCTACCTCAGGTATGAGGTCTTCTAATTCCGTGGGTAGCGATACAAAAACTTTTTCAGAACTTCTTGACCAAGCCCCAGCATTTAAAATTTTGATATTCACAGAATCAGCTGTACAGGAAACAGCAAACAGACAATATTGAAACAGTAAACAGGAAATCAAGTCACAACAAGACAAGAGCAAAACAGGCTCTGGTAAGGTAACAAGAGATAACCACATAATTTCATGGTTCTGTTAAGGAAATAAGCTTGGCTCCATGTAACATAAAAACATTTAAAATTAAGAGTACCTGGCAGAGCTAGTTTATTATTTTTGTGCATTTCCTTGAAGGCCTGGTTCAAATCTTCAGATACTTTGATATCCTGGAACATTCGTGCAAGCTTATTTACATAATCTGCTGGCATACCAACTTCCTGTGTAAAGAGATTGCAAACGTAGTCTAGGCACAACTGCATCCTAGTTTCCATCTTTTTCAAACACAGTTCATTCAAAAATTGCATGCTATGTTAAAAACACAACATTCACACACATAATTTACACTGGGCTTAACAGATGTGGGAAAACAGAAGGGTCCAGGTGGTTGACGTAGATACTACACTGTCAATACCCAATGATTAATTCAGCACATATACCATATTTGAATATTACAATTAATTGAACTGTATAATTAAATAGGTCAGTGATTGCCAGCTTCTTTCTTGTTGGGAACTAGGGTTTTCTTGGCCAAATTACCTGGGACGGGATTTATCACCTGAAACCCTCTACTACCTTCAACCAAGCTGTTGATTCCACAGGCAAATGGCTTGGCCAAAAGAGTGGAAACCCACTTTTCAGAAAATGAGTAAATGTGGAGGCACCAAGGAGACTGCCCCCAAGGCCTCATCAGTGCAGATACTTCCAGGATAACCATTCATTTCTGGAAGGAAGAAGTATGGTGGAGAGCGGAGGGAATAGGGTTGTTATACAATGCTAAGGATGTTAAACTAACCACATTATGAATCCACAGATTATTCAGAAAGCTCTTGTTATAATATAAACATCACATGCACAGGTCTTAGGGTTCTCTCTCTAAGCCCCTTTTTAGAACAGAGTTGGTACAACACAAGCCCTATTTGCTGAATCATGGGCAAAATTCTAGGAGGTAGGCTATGAATAATCTGTGATGAAAATACTCACATTATTTGTAATTTTTAATTAAAGGGTCTGTTTTCTGAATAAGAGAAAAGCCAACAGGATTTTATATACTTACTCTCAGCCATTCCACCATATTCTCTTCTATTTCACTGTCTGCTGATATATCCAATATAAGACGTCTTGTTAAGTGAGCTTTGTGGTATCTCATAAAAACATCTTTGTTCTGTACATACTTGAGTACCAGTAACTGTTTTAAAGAGTGTTAGACAAGTTCAATGATTAATATTAACACATACTGTTATTGCAAAACAGAGTTATGCAATGGTAAACTCATGCCCAAATGTATCTGGGGGCAGTTATTGTCTATAAAACTACTGTAACAGATCATGTACTTATCTTCATCACTGAAAAATATTTTAATAATACATAATTTATCATTTATTTGAAACCTTCTGCATATCCCCTTTGAAAAACAGTCATATCTAATTTAGCAAAGAGAACGTATAATATGCAGATATTAATGTGCACTGCTTAAAACTTTCTAGTGTGACTTTAAATCTGTTACCCTAATCCTTGATATAGTGTCTCTTTCTGATAACTCATCAGTGAGAGGAAATAGTCGAGTACATGTTAGCATAACTGAACATTTCTTCCCCCTCCCCCACTCACACAGACCATCTGCCTTTGCATGAGTCACATGCAGATTTAAGGAGGAGCAATTGCACTGAAGTATATTTCTCTGCTCCTCTTCCCCACAAGAGTACCTCCAGTACCCTGAGAATGCTATCTAGAGTCAGGATACTCTGCTGAGTACTGCAAGCTATGCTGTGGGTATGATGGGCAGGGTGGTGATCCCCAGAATTCAGGCTGAGAAACCTGCTGTGAGAGGAGCCTTCCTGAGAAAGGCAAATGCCATTTGTTTTGACAGTATCTGTTACTGGAGCCAACAGAATCATTTAAAACCTTAGCCCAAAATACAGGCATGCCAAAGGACAGGGAAGGTATATCTGTTTTGTTTAGGGCAAATAAACTTGTTATAGCTGACTGGAAAAGATACTACCCCACCAAATAAAGCAATCTTCATAGGGTTATCAGAAGGCCTGGAGAAAAAGAAACCAAAAGTGCTTAGGTGAAATGCTAGACTCACAAAAAAATAAGGGAAGAGGTCCAATGTATTCCATCCAGTAACTTAATACAAAAGCTTCCCCCCTCAGAAAAACATCACAAATAAGAAATCAGTAGTTCAAAAATTTGTACAATTAGAATGGGGGCTCTTGTGTCAAAAGACCTCATTCCAGTACATTAACTTTTTCCATGCTGCTTTTTTATGTTGTTGGGGACATAAAGGACTCCAATTAACTTAGGTATTTTACAGTTTTACGTTCCCATTAATTTCAAAGAACATAGACCAGACCTCTGACAGTAAAATTAAACAGGATATTTTTTATTATTATTGAAAGGTGAGGTGAGGAGAAGAGAGATGACATACCAAAGAACAACTGAACCCATAAATGTTGAGGGGTACATGGAATATGTAATGATTTAGTGTTTATTAAAACAAGTGTTAAAAAGCTGCACTGCTATCCCACTAATTTAGAAGGATTAAACTAAATCATGACAATATGAAATAATCTGACAGGTGCATGCCTTTTAAGTTAAACAAAGGAAGTAAGGCCAGCATTCACTTTCCTGGGCACTGTTAATTGTGTGTAATAGTAAACTATACTGTCTGTGGACAGTTTTGTTGGTCAGCAATGCCCCTAGTCAACAACTACCTTAACGATGGAACCAGTGAAGCACTGAGCCTTTCCTTCCTCTTTATCCAATATTCTAATTAACATCATAGTATTTTTGAGGATAGACATTTAAGAAATGTCACAACCTTAACATGTATTTCACCCAAATAAAAAGTCAGAAACTGTATAAGGACATACCACTTCTTTAAGCTTTGCTTCAATTTCTTCAGAGGTTAGTTTTTTGCTTAGCGGTGTTTTCCTTAGCAACATGTCACAGTAATTTGCAAGCAGTTCTGGACACTTGGACTCTGGCTGCGTTTTCAATCCAACACTAAAGGAACATGAGATGCAGTTGTCATAAGATTATTAGGAGAAATCACTAACTGCAGTTTCACATATACAGTGGTACCTTGGCTTACGGACGCCTCAGTTCATGACTTAATCAGGTCATGAACAGAAATTTCTGAAAAATTTTGCCTCAGGTCACGAACTCTGCATCAGGTGACAATTACACCCGTCTCCCCCTGAGCACGCTTTTATTTAATATATTTAATTTTATTTGATAATTTCACATATGTTCTAGTCTATTCTTATTTGCCCTAGGCTTTGGAGATGGCTCAGATTACAAAACAAAAAAATTAAAAATATAACCTACATTTATTAGAAAATAAGACAAGGGCTTTCTTCAAAAAGAGCTAATTATCAATTCAAGAAGTACTGAACTTGGTATTTAATTTGAAATTGATTAGGTATTTGATTAAAATATATATGTAAATAACTTACCCCTTCTGTTTTAATGGTAATTCAAGTTTAAATATGGTAGCATCATTAACCACTGCTTTATATGCCTAAAATGAAATGAAACAATTCAGTCAACTCTGTTAACATAGGAATACATTCTAGAACATGCCAGTTAAAATCACTTTCCATCTTCTTCAAAGGCCCAGTTCAGATTTCCCACTGGGCCAATTGTCTTCCTGTATTCCTGATTCCCCACTGAGGTCTTAGGTTAATGGTAACAGGCTACAGATGTTGTTGTAAAGTAAGCTATTCATGAACAGTGGAAGGAATCCAATAGGAGGATGGGATATGCATGGGTTGGGGAAGGAGGAATAGTGTGCAAAAACCTGCAGAGGATTCCAGATCATTAAATGGCCCAGCCCGACATCTGAATCAGGTAAATGTGGGGAGAAATCTCTGTTTAAGAAAAACAACATAACCTAGCAGTATTATATCACAGGAATTCCATACCTGGTGGTAAAACTCCCATTGTTAATTGTACAATTTTATGATTACAATCTTGCAGTTATCTAAAGATGTAAAACACTTAAGATGACTGCAAAATGCCTAATAGTTTATTATAACTTTTATTTAAATCATGCAAGTTTTATAAGCCTTCTAAACTCAGGAGAAAACAATGACACAAAACATCAACTGAATTTAATAACAAACCTTATCTCTGGCAGTAAGAAACCTTGGATCATCTTGAAAAGCTTCTTTAACCAGCTTGCTAAATCGATTAAATAATGTAAGCAATTGTTCTACATACTTTTCAGAATCCTAAAAATTGAAGCAAAGCAACAAAAAATAAAAAGCAAAATCTGTGAGGAAAAAATAGCATGTGATCATTAATCAGCTGTGGGTTAATCATGCTGATTTTCTGTGAATTGCTTATTCCAATGTTTTTAAGAATATAAAGATTCAACAGAGGAGCCAAGCTCAAAATTGTTACCTTCATTAGATTTTTTTAAAAGCATGTTACCAATTGTAACTTAAAACAGTTTATTACTCATGATGAAAAGTTCTTTGAATTATAACCCTCTGTCCACCAAAACCACCTTTCTAAGAAACTCTGGGCACTCCCTGTGGCCTGGTACAGGGATTACACTTAGCTCCCAGCAAACCACAGTGCGCACGAGTCAAACTCAGCAGCAAGCGCGTGCTACTCCTTTAGTACAAATGGTGCCATCTGTTGGCTTTGTAAGCACTGAATCGACACAATACTACACACAGTCTGCATTAACAAAATTCCCTTTTAAATCAGCTCCAAATTAGTGTCATATTCAGGTTTATAATGAGAACCTGGCCAGCATCAAACTCTAAAATCTACAATAAGGCAGTATCTTGACCAAGACCATCTAAAATATCACCAAACAACTAGCAAGCTTGAATATCATATGCAACTCTTGTTCAGATTAGATCTTAAACAAAAGCTTGGAATGATGCTGTCCTAGACTCTAGAGCAGAAATAATAATCTAGAGCCCTCCAAATGATTTGGACTAGATTTCATCTGACCCAGTTAGCAAGGCTAATAGGGAGTAATTACAGGAGCTGGAGCAGCTGACCCCCACTCTACAGTTTTGTAGCAATTCTAAGATAAGCTACAGAAGGTAACTGACAGACTTAAGCAATCCCATACCACTTACCTGGAATAAGTCTCACTGAATTCAGTGGGACTTCCCCACAAGTAGACATATATGAGACTGTGCTGTTAATTAGATTAGTTTCTGATAGGGACAAAGTAGATTCCAGATTGCACCAAGATTCTTGGGATAAAGCAACTATAGTGACTGTTCCCCCATTTGTCCGTTTATTCTGACAACTTTATTTTCTACTCTTTTTATTGATCAGAGATATGCATTAGGTACTTCCAGTGCATTTGTTCCTTCTGGGTAAAAAAATCTATTTCATTAGAAGGCAGAAGATCACTCTAGAATTAACCATCCTGAAGTTCTTACCATTAGATATAAAGCCAGTTTCACTGAGAAGTGATTCAAACATGACCACGAATTTGCATTCCATGGACAAACAGACAGAACACAATGGGCTAGCATGCCTTGGCTACCTTATGAATGCTGATTTCAAATTAGTACAAGCAGCAGGTGGTCAACCATAGTGTGGCTGTTTAGATGAAAATGACAATTTTATTTGGCATTAAACTAGGAGTATGGGCAAGGAATCATCACATGGAAAGGGAGGTGGGAAAAGGAAAATAAGCCTAAAGTTTCAGATTTTCATTCACATTATTGTCCCTCATTGGCACACTGTGTGCAAGCTTTGAATGCAAACTAGAAGGTAAAGGCATGGGTAAATATAACTGTATTTGATACACGAGATTTATTAAGTCACTATGGCACCAGGTCCTTTAATATCACCAAGTATCAGGGACTTGGCTGTTATCAATTTCACTAAAGATTTCATCTAGAGATTTTCTATGGAAATGTAGATGGCATAGAAATTAATCAGAATGAAAATTGTAATTAACCCATCTAAGGCACAACCTTATGTCCTACCTACCTTATCTAAGAGACAATCGGATTATATGGAATCCTAGCTCCAAGATCCTGAAACCATGGAGCTGAAACTCTGAAGGCCAACCCCATTCCCTCTCACAGTGGTGCAGAAAGAATTGAGCCAGCTACCTCTCTGAGGGCACAAGTGAGCCTCAGAGAGGAGGAAAGGGATTATGCCAGGGGGCAGAGAGGATATTGAGCTCGGCCCCCTTTCTTCCCCAAAGCTTCATCTAGATACGCACAGCATACATCAGTAGAGATTGTCGCTGTACCTCACTCTGTGGACTGGATTGCACAAACGCCTCTGAGTTTGGAGGCTTACATGCATCTGCAACAGAGGGGATTAGAATAAGCCATTCATTGCTTAATAATACTAATCAATTAAAGCTTGTATCCTTAGTTTCATGAGATTTCAAATACTGATAATTTTGAAGGATGTATATTTCTCTACTATATTTAGCAACAATTTCAGACTGATTTCAAAAATGTAAGGTTTCATTCTGTCAAATGACTTTTTAGTTAAAACTCTTTTAAACAAGAAATAAGGGATGACAAAAAAAATACACACTTACAGTAGTAATAGTTTCAGCAGCTGCTACCATGTCTGCTAATCCCGCACTAACGATATGTTCTTCCAAATCTTTTAACATAGGCTCTATTCCATTAGGAACTTTATCCATCAATGAAAACATTAAATGCAATTCTGAAGATACAAAATTTTGAAGAAGCCATCAGTCAAGGAACCTGGAAGCTTTATAAAATTGTAAATACCTTCATCCTCTTCTAACTGCCACTCCACAAGCAACTGTGGGAAATTCTAGATTATACAGTGCGCCTGTTCAAACTCAGTGTTGTTTTCTTGCAAATCATGGTTTGTAGACTTGAGAATACACATTCTATTTTTCTTGAACCAATTTCCCTTTTTCAACATTAAAAAATGGCCTTGCATTACATATAGACAATACATATTATGGCTGACTCAAACCACAATCCTTGGTTTGTAAACCAGACAGTAAAATGATGATTAAACTGAGGCCATAGTTAAATTCTGAAAGGATAGAAACAGAGGAAATAGTTCCAGAAAGGTCAGAACAGAAGCAGAGGGAGAATGCATTCTAGAAACTGGCTTATTTGCAGAGGAAATAAGCAGGAAGTTGGCATTTTAATTTTAGGATGGATGAATTACTCTAATTCAAGTTTGTGTTGTTTTTACAATTTTCACTGTCAAGGTCATACTGTACTGTTTCCACAGATTGCCACAGCTGCTTAGAGGGCCTAGTAGGTAGAACTGCTGCCATGCATTCCAAAGTGAATCTGCAGGCACCAGTGGTAAGGATATGACATACTGCTGGATGGTAGAGAACAGACAAATTCTTCAACCCACCCCTGGTTCCTCAGGTGAATGGCATTCTGATTTGAAAATTAGACCAAATTCACTTAGGAATTTGGATCCAACAAATTCCTCACTCACCCCTATTATATGTACACATTTAAACAGTGCAGCATAAGCATTAATTGAAATCATTAAGATGAGGAGGCAGAGGGATATATTAGACAACTAATACCTAGCTATATTCACAGGAATATTCACTAGTTTAAGTTACGGAATACCAGAGAGAGGTAGGAAAGAAGCGCTAATCTCCTCCAGTTTCCGCAAGACTATACTGTGAAATTCACTGTGGCAGTGCAGGTTTCCTAATCAACTTCTTTATTGTTGCAAGTTCCCATAAAGCCTCATTTCCCCTGAGAGTTGAAAGTTATACTTGCACAAGGTTTCGTATCTTGCTATATTCAGATCTGGACCAGTGTCAAACTGCTGCTGTCAGGAGAAGGAGCCAGACATAGTTCTGAGGTCAGATGCCTTTTGAATTCTCATGCCTAACTACAGATGCTATACTCTGAATGCTAGAAATCTAATCTGAACAAGCAGCAAATTCTTCAAAACATATATAGATCTTATTTTCCTTTGTTACATGGCATACACAATGTAACCTTAACATGCCCTGAAACACTAGGACAAAAAAGTTGTATTTCTCCAATTAGTTTTTCTGAATATTCCACAAGGACCACAAATTTTTAAAATTTAAATTATATCCATTGTCATCAATATAAACATTTGCCAAAAGATGCATAAACTAAGACAATCTTCCTTGTTTATCTAAATATCACAACATGAGTAAACCTGAAAGATGATCAAGGCTGATTAAGTACAAAGAAAAGCAGGTAGTAAAACAGGCAAAAGTATGAAATATAGTACAGTAGTGAAGTAGGCCGCACTTTCAGCTACTATTATATTAACCATTATTAAAGAATATCAAAGCTACATGCTGAAACACCCACAACTAATAAATACAAAATAGTGTGAGCCTAAGCAGAACACTGGCCGCAATCCCCAACTCTCCCATTAAATTCAGTGAGCAATGCTGGTTCAATCATCTATCTCAGAGTTTTATTTTCAGGGCTGGAAAAAAGAATAAACTTGTACACTGTATTATAATAGAGCAAGCTACATTTAACCAGCTCTACGTCAAACTGGTTTTCTTGGGTGCCTTTCTTATAAAACAGAAGTATATACTCTGTCCAAATCAAAAGCGCTATTGGGGAAAATTACATCAACCTTCACTTACTCTCTGTTTCATTCCGTTTGATCATGCCTTGGCATTCAGCTAAAATTGTTTCTTTAAAAGATGTCACCAGAGCATTCACACAGCATTCCATAAGCTGAAAAGCAGTAAGGTAGCCATTAATATACTTACAATAGTGCTGTTTTTACAAACTCATTAACTGAATTTATATAAGTTACCAATGATGATTTGGAAGATTAGGAACAAACCCTTCTCCCACATCTTCTTTCTCTCCCCATGCAGAGACTTTAATCAGTTACTTCATCCTTGAATCAAGCCACAGTTGCTCCTACATTTGAACTGCCAAATTAGTCTGAATAAATCCTCTAAATTAGGGTGCAAACCAGGATTTGCAATTGGGTGTGTGTGTTTGGAGAGCATTCTCAAACTATCATCTGAATTTGGCTACTATCTATGAAGAAGTGGAATCTTTGTTTTTGGACTACAATTTCCATCATACTTTGCCATTATTTTTGCTGGCTGGGGCTTATGCAAGTTGTAGCCAAAGCATCTGGAGAGTGCCAGGTTGCCTAGCTTTGCTCTATCAAGTTACATTCTCTGCATGAGTAAAAATATCCAGTGTTGGACAAATTTAGAACACATTATATTAGGTGTAATTATGCCTAACATTTTGACTAAACAGAGTTAAAACAATGCCTATACATTTCATATTCACTCAAAATTAAGCTATTTCTATTAGTGGGAATTAATTCTGAACAAACATGCTTAGAATTGCTGTGTTAACCTCTGTCATCCATAGCAAAATCAATTATTCCTAGATTAGCAAGGTTCATGTTGTGTATCAACTGCATAAAATAGCATACACTGCCTAAATAATCCCATATGATCTCCATTCAAGTCTAACAGATCATATTATCTATTCTAATAAGCTGAAAGTAATTATATACAACCCTACAGCAGGAAGTAAATATCATTACACCATAACTTTTAGATAAGCTGATAGATATTATACTATGGTAAACTGTGTGATAACTTTAAGACTTAAATAACAGGTGCCATGATTACTGCTGAGATGCTGAGATAATTACTTCTAGGGTTTCATTCAAGCATTTTCATTTTCCACCAAAAACTAGAGTTTAAATGGGGCAGAATCATATGCACATTTTAGAGTACCATCCATGATTATTCAGTTGTACATCCACTGAGTTCAATTCCATCTGTTGTTGCTGCTGTTATGTGCCATCATGTCATCTCTAACCTATGACAGCCATATGTATGAAGGCCCTCCAAAATATCCCATCCTTGACAACCTTGTTCAGCTCTTGAAAATTCAAGGTTGTGGCTTCCTTTATGGAGTCCATCCTTCTCATATGGAGTCAATCCATCTCATCCATCACTGGTACCCATTCCCAGGCAAATGGATATAAATCCGCACCAAAGAACCTTTGTCATTCCGGCAAAAGGAATGGTCCATTCAAGGGAACAGAGCTCAATACTTTCTATAATGCCATAAGCTCTAGATTCTACCTCTTTTTATGGTGGTTCATAGTTTTTGAAAGAGCATTATTAGGGGAGCACAGACAGTATCAGTAAATACTTATTTCACACAACACCTTTTTCTTTCAACACAGACCAAAGAAAGAAACACCAAACCTATTGTTTATGGTCATGATTAGAAGGTTGTATACAAATTTGTTGTTTTTTACTTGGTGCAACAAATCTGCCTATATGGAAATAGCAACCATTCTCCATATGAAACACTTGGAACAGATGATTATTTGATTTGTAGCTTTTCTACTTTTAATGGCTCAGACTTTAGATCTACTTTAAGTGTAATTTGTTCATATATAACAGGGTAAAAATCACTACAAAGACACTTGTCTTCAGAACTGTATGAATAATTCCTTGATTTACTCAAACTTTTAAATATATGAATTATTTCCACTATTAAGACATTATGTATCTGCAAAATATTCTTACCGCTTCTACAGAGTTACATTCACGCCTGGTTTCTAAATACCGTAGTGCTCTTTTTTCTTCTTCCTTAAGTTTAGCGTCTGCCTGTGCAGAAGCAAAACAATAATCACTTAAAATATTAACATTTTTAGAGTAAATACCTTCCTCTGAGCACCTTTTCACTTACATATTTCATATAATTCTGTACACCATTTTGCTGCAAATATGAAGGGGCTTGAGTTCTATAAAATCTCTCTGTTGAGTCAAGGTATGCTTTTTCAAAATTATCCCGATAAATCTGGAGTTTATCGTCAGGATTGGAACACAGATTAACTGTAACGAGAAATATCACATTCAGACCTTCTTTCTGGATGTTTAGTATGAAGTAGCACACTTAATCTTCTCACTTAAGAAAATGAGAATATCCAAAGTACAAATATTATATTGATCTCAATATAAAGTGAGTATGCAACACAGCACTATCACAAATGCATATGATGCTGCACTAGTGCAAACCATGTGTAGTAAAGTTTCTTCACTACGAGGCCCAAGGGCCACTGGGGGCTCTGAATCACCTCAAGTGCTTCCTTCAATTTCATTTAATCTCTTTTTGCAGTAGCTGCTCACTTTCAGCAGCAGCTCTCTAATCTTGCCTTGTTTGTTTTAGCACTGAGCCAGTTGCTGTAATCTGGGCTGGAGGTGGGACATCATGAGACCTGCCATGAATCAACTGTAAGGTGAAGAGTTTGTACATGTGTCAAATAAAGGGGCAATCAGTCAAGTAGGTATGGTGTAGAAAAAGATCAACAGGCAAAGCACCAAGTGAAAGGCTAGCTAGTGGTGCATTGCACAAGTGCTGCAGAATTTGCCTGCCTGGTGACTGACTGGTGACTCCTTTATCAGATGATGCTGTAAGGGTAGTTTTTTTCTTGTATTCTTACTAAAGAAGGGACTTTAAATAATTTGAGGGTGGGATAGGGGAGCAGAGGCTCAAAAAGACCACATCCTGTGCATAATACTGCCACCAGAATGGGTGCAGAAGGGACTTCTCCCCTCCAATCCTGGAAAGACTCCCAACACATCCCCTGCAGTGATAACCTGGAGCCAAAGTGAGTCTTGCCTGAAAAATAGTAAAGATCACTATTTGAAAACAACACAGTGAGATTTCCAGGAAAACCTATTGCACCAGCAAGCACTATTACCACAGTGTTAGAGCTAGTTTGCACCAGTATGACACTATTTAGCTGTAGTGCTTCAATGGATACTACCCAATATTATTACTACTTAAAACTCTGCCTAACAAGTAACTTAGGAAGGCATTAAAACATACTTTGGGTGGCCATTTTACGTCTCTTGTTTAAGTCAGCAGGTAAGCTGAATTGTTTAGTATTATTCTGCATGGTACTTTTTTGTATGCGTACCTATCAACTCAGTTTCACGCACATACTCATCCCATGGAATTCCAGTTTTGAAGATTCTCATGGCACATGCCTGTGCAAAAGCAACAGTGATACGAATCTTAAGATCACTACTGACAGAAATGTCTGAAGCAATCCCTTAGATAATGGACAAGTTTCAGGCATGAGAAAAAGCTTGTAGTTTGCAAACATGCTAAGAGGTACAGATCTAAGATTACAACTTTGCATGGCAGTGTAGAAAAGCAGTTTATTGAATTCATTCCTGTAACTGTTAAAATTATAATTTCCTACAGAACTGTATTATTGCTGAGCACATTTAAAAACCTCCAGCTGCTAAATTAAGAAGATTACTGGTCTTTTCAGTGTATGTGTCATCTAACCATTGCCAATAAAAATTCTAGTTGCAGGCAAGCTATGGTGGGTGATATTACAGTATAGGGGACTCTGTTTTTATTATTATTATTATTATTATTATTATTATTATTATTATTATTATTATTATAACATTTCTATGCCGCCCCTTGCCGAAGCCTCGGGGCGGCTTACAACACAATAAAATACATTGAAATACAATAGAACATAATAAATTACCATTAAATACAAAAATACAAAAAATACACTGGTTACAAACATAATAATATAAAATTAAAATTATCAGTATAAAATAAGTAAATAAATAATATAGGAGGAGAAAAGAGAAGGAAGAAGAAGTTGCCCTGGCCAGATCATATATTTTAACAATTAAAATGATATTTACCACATAACAAGACATACCATATGATTCTCTAACACCAATGACAAGTTGAGAGTCAAATGCTTCCCCCAGTCGTTCAGCATGGACCAGCTTCATTGCACTGTCCTGAAGACGAGTCTTTATATTTGAAAATATGGACTCATTCCAAGTATCTAACATTAGCTACAAATACAATAAGGCAGAAAATTAGAAGAGCATGCATTGATATTCCAATGGCAAACCATTAAAATATTGTCTTAAATTTTAGGGACAGGTCAATATTGATTTTAGAAAAATTCACCTCCTTTTCTGGTGGCAAAGAAGGCCCACATTTATTTATTTATTTATTTATTAAAACATTTTTATGCTTTATGAGAATGATTCATGTGACAAATACAGCTGTTACTTCCTTTACTGAGAACTGGCATTTAAAAATTATCTACATTAAGATATATGGTCACCTTGATAGCAAGATGGGTTGAGCAGAGAGTATACTTTAAGGAACTCAAGCTTATGTACTGTCTAGCTTGGCTTTAACTCAGAAATGCATAAAACCTACTATTTCTTCCAAATATGCCATCCCTATTTTATATTCCAATGAAAGTAAGATATATATTACTCAGAAATTTATGCTTCACACATATGCATGTACTTTAGCTCCCCAAGCAGCATCAGTAATACTCAAAGCTACTTGTATACTGTATGGAGCAGAGGTGCATTGTGTTAAACACTGGAGAAAGCAGCAGAATAGTAATTACTAGCTCAGATCCATGTTTTAAAATCAAGTGTCAGAATCATTACGAATGCAGTATGATTTCATTGCCCTACTTTGATATGTACTGGTGTTAAAAGAGACTCTCTGCAATGGTGGTTTATGAAGAACAGCACTTACCTTTCTTACAATACTGTCTTCTACATTGGATTTCTTATTGCTGCCTTGCTTCCCCATTAGAGTAATCTCTAACTGACAAAAGGGTTTGGGTAAGATATCACACTGTGTGAAGAATTTACGCCACTCCACAATGTAGGCTTTCAGTAATGCAGTATCATCTTGGTGGCTCAGTACTCTCTGAAAGAACAGGCAGGCCCAAATATAAACACACTCATGTTCATATATAAGTAGGTAAGCTAATTCATTGCCTCAATTTTTACAAGAAATTTATATCTATTATGCCATATACAATGAATTTCCAAAATCTCTGCTATTAGCAATATTTATTTATTTAGAAAATTTCTATGCCGTCCCATTCGCCGAAGCCTCGGGGCGGCTCACAAAACATCAATTAAAATATAATACATTAAAAATATAAAATGAATTAACAATATAAAATAAGTCGCCCTGGCCAAAGAATAAAATAAGGAAATAATATTAGCAATTAAAATGACGTTTGAATAAAAAGGTCTTCGCCTGGTGCCGAAAAACAAATAATGACGGCGCCAGGTGGACCTCTCTGGAGAGTGCATTCCATAGATTGGGCGCCACCGCAGAGAAAGCCCTCCTCCAAGTACCTACCCTCCTAATTTCCTTTACGGAGGGTTCCTGGAGAAGGGCCTCTCCCGCAGATCTCAGGGGGCGGACGGGCATATATGGACGTAAGCGCTCCTTCAGGTAGCCAGGACCCAAGCCATTTAGGGCTTTATAGGTCATCACCAACACCTTGAATTGGGCCCGGACTTCAATGGGAAGCCAGTGAAGCTGACGGAGGACTGGAGTCATGTGAACATAACGCCCAGTCCCCGTCAGCAGCCTGGCAGCTCTATTTTGAACCAACTGAAGTATCCGGACCGTCTTCAAGGGTAGCCCCACATAGAGCGCGTTACAGAAGTCAAGACGGAAAGTCACCAACGCGTGTGTCACTGTCACCAGGCAGTTGTACTCCAGGTAGGGGCGCAGCTGATGGATCAGCCGAAGCTGAAGGAAAGCGCTCCTCGCCACTGCTGTCACCTGAGTTTCCAATGAAAGCTCTGGGTCAAGCAGCACTCCCAGGCTGCGAACCTTGTCCCTAAGAGGGAGTGCAACCCCATTCATGACTAAGTTCAATTCACCCTCTCCGAAGCCCGATCCGCCAACCAACAGGACCTCCGTCTTATCTGGATTGAGCTTCAGTTTACTGGCACTCATCCAGCGCATTACCTCGGCCAGGCACCGGTTCAGTACAGCCACTGCCTCACCTGGATTGGTGGAAAACGAGAGGTAGAGCTGGGTATCATCAGCGTTCCGATGATTCCGCAGCCCACACCTCCTGATGACCTCTCCCAGCGGTTTCATGTAGATGTTGAACAGCAAAGGGGACAAAATGGACCCCTGCGGTACTCCATGGCTTAGCTACCATGGTGCAGAGCCATAGTCCCCCAGCACCACCTTCTGGAACCGGCCATTGAGATAGGAGTGGAACCACTGCAAAGCAGTGCCTCCGACCCCCAATCCCGCTAGCCTATCCAGAAGGATACCATGGTCGATGGTATCGAAAGCCGCTGAGAGGTCCAGGAGAACCAACAGGGACGCACTCCCCCTGTCCTTCTCCCTGCACAGGTCATCGTACAGGGTGACCAAGGCAGATTCAGTACCGTACCCGGGTCTGAAGCCGGACTGAAATGGGTCCAGATAATCAGTTTCATCCAAGAGAGCTTGGAGCTGTCCCGCCACCACCCACTCAAACACCTTGCCCAGAAACGGGATGTTGGCCACTGGTCTATAATTCGCGGCCATCTCTGGATCCAGTGACGCTTTCTTCAGGACCGGTCGGACTACCGCCTCCTTTAAAGGGGAAGGCACCCGACCCTCCCTCAGAGAAGCGTTAACCACTTCCAAGATCCAGATCCCAATCCCGTGCTTAGAATTATTTATTAACCAAGACGGGCAAGGGTCCAATAGGCAAGTGGTGGGACCTACTCGTCCAAGCACCTTGTCCACATCATCAAGCCGCAATAACTGAAATTCATCCATTAATTTTGGACCAGACGGCAGCATTGAATACATATTCATAAAGAGCTAAGATGTAGCTAAGATGGCAATTGCCCAGCATTTCCCATGGAAACATAATTAAGATTCTGATGCTCATTCTGTAAGTCACACAGAAAATATGCCTAACCTTAGAAGTCAGCAAGCTGCTGAAAAAATGATTCACTATCATTGAACACAGTAGGTCATATACTTTGCAGCACAATCCTATACATGCTTACTTGGAAGCATGATCCAATGAATTCTCTCAGGTAAGTTAACACAGGATTGCCCCTGCAGCCTTTCATAATAAAAGTATTTATTTTTCAATGCTGTGCTCTGGTAGATATATTCTAAATAGGCAGTTTAAAATTGGTGATTTAACAGAGAGTCATGAAAAATGCAGACAGAAATCTGTCTGTCTGTATCTCTCTCCCTTTAGAAGTAGACTACCAAATATTTCAGTATTTTTAAAAATTGTGCACAAACACAGTGATGAAGTCTACAATTCAGCGAATCCAAGTACAAAACATTAAATTTACAATTATAAGGGAAAAAATTAAGGTTATTTAGCAGAACAATCATACGTTTGCTAGAAAGCATCTAGTCAGCTACATGATTGCTTGGATCCACAGCTACAAAGTCAGAAGATCACTCCAGACTTGCAACTGCAATTGGGAGTTCAGATTTTCCACACACCTGGTGGGAAAAGAACCACACTGGCTGTATCCCCAAGGTTGCAGAGACAGAGTTTTAGGGGTGGGAAGGAAAGAAGACTGGTGCCACCCAGATTCTATGTACTCTGGGAGCACCTCAGTCTCCTTTCCTCAAACCCCAAGGCACCCCACTGAAATGGCAAAAATCAGCTGTTTTGCAGATCAGGAGAAGCACAGAGATGATCTCTCCTTCTGTGTTCCTTTGATCCTCCATTGTATGCCCATAAGCCTCCAAGGTCAGAGGTTTACAGCATCCAGACTATACTGTACCCTGAGTGACCCACAAGCATTAATTATTGTTTTAAAAACTGTGCATTTGAACAGTAAGACACAGGCACACAGTCTTCTTTATAAAACACATTTGCGGACTAAGCCAATGCATGTTTGCTTAGAAGATTCACTGCATCATTAGTGTGTGTTCCCAAAGAAGCATGTTTAGATTTAAAGCCACACACTTATTTGTTTTAAGGGCTCTAATATAGATAATTTCTTTACATATAAGGATATGTGAATTTAAGCTTCCACAAATACCTACTAGACTGGAATCTCCTATTCTGAAATCTTCATCAAAACATAAATATGAAATGAAATTGATGAAATTTTGCTATAGAAAAAAAATGATGCAGTGGCCATATACCAGCTTATCTACTTCAAGCCTAAAAATAATTCACCCCAGAAAGTTACTTGAACTTCATCAAGTCACCACAGAAAAGATTTTGCTTTCTTCCCATCCATTTCAATAACTATAAGGATTCCTTTGATGCTAAGTTGCCATATTCTTTTTGGCGCCAGGTCAAAACCTTTTTATTCAATCGTTATTTTAAAAAGTAATATTTTAGCGGTTTTAACAGTCGCTTTTTATTTTTATTTATTTATTTATCTATCTATCTAGAAAATTTGTAGGCCGTCCATTATTGTCATCTCTGGATAGCTTACAACATTATTTCAATCTTCAATAAAATAAGTTAACTATTCCACACTGAGCATAAAATTAATCTATTTAAAATATATTAAATAAATCTAACACAATTAAAATTGCTATATGTTAAAATATTGGTCAAATAAAAAGGTCTTGACCTGGTGCCGAAAAGCATATAATGATGGCGCCAGGTGGACCTCTCTAGGGAGCGCATTCCATAGTCGGGGCGCCACCACAGAGAAAGTTCTCCTCCGAGTACTCTGTCTCCTGACATCTTTCAAAGAGAGTTCCTGGAGAAGGGCAGGAGGGCATGTAGGGGAAAAGGTGTTTCTTTAGGTATCCTGGTCCCAAGCCGTTTAGGGCTTTATAGGTAATAACCAGCACCTTGAACTGAGCCTGGACTTCGATGGGAAGCCAATGGAGCTGATAGAGGACTGGAGATATGTGAGAATAACAACCAGTCCCTGACAACAACCTGGCAGCTCTATTTTGCACCATCTGAAGTATCTGGACAGTCTTCAAGGGCAGCCCCACGTAGAGTGTGTTACAGAAATCAAAGCGGGAAGTCACTGTCGCCAGGCAGTTCTCCTCCAGGTAAGGATGCAGCTGATGGATTAGCCAAAGCTGAAGGAAAGCGCTCCTCACCACCGCTGTCACCTGGGCTCCCAAGAACAGCTCTGGGTTGAGGAGCACTCCTAAACTGTGGACCCTGTCCTTTAGAGGGAGCGCAGCCCCGTCCAGGGCAGGGCCTAAGTCACTTACCCAGAAGCTTGAATCACCTACCAAGAGGACCTCTGTCTTATATGGACTGAGCTTCAGTTTATTGGCCCTAATCCAGCCCATTACCTTGGCCAGGCACCGGTTCAGGACAGCCACTGCCTCACCTGGATTAGTTGAAAAAGAGATGTAGAGCTGGGTTTCATCAGCATACTGATGACTCCGCAGCCCAAATCTCCTGATGACCTCTCCCAGAGGTTTCATGTAGATGTTGAATAGCAAGGGGGACAAAATGGAGCCCTGAGGTTATCCATGGCAGAGTTGCCATGGCGCAGAGCCAAAGTCCCCCAGCACCACCTTCTGGAATTGGCCAGCAATGTAGGAGTGGAACCACTGACAAGCAGTGCCTCCTACTCCCAATCCCGCCAGTCTATCCAGAAGGATACCATGGTCGATGGTATCGAACCGTTGAGAGGTCCAGGAGAACCAACAGGGACATACTTCCCGTCCCTCTCACTGCACACGTCATCATACAGGGCGACCAAGGCAGATTCAGTACCGTAACTGGGTCTGAAACCGGACTGAAATGGGTCCAGATAGTCAGTTTCATCCAAGAGTGCCTGGAGTTGGCCTGCCACCACCCACTCCAACACCTTGCCCAGAAACGGGATGTTGGCCACCAGTCTGTAATTGGCGGCCATCTCTGGATCGAGAGACACCTTCTTTAGGATAGGCCTGATTACCGCCTCCTTTAAAGGAGTGGGCACCCGGCCCTCCCTCAGTGAGGCATTAATAATCTCTTGGATCCAGAAACCAATCCCGTGTTTGGCTTTGGTAAGTAGCCATGAAGGGCAAAGGTCAAGTAAGCAGGTGGTAGGATGTACTTGTCCAAGTACCTTGTCCACATCATCAGGCCTCATTAACTGAAATTCATCCAATGATGCTAGACCAGACGGAATTCTTGGCGTCTCCCCTAAAGGAACCGTATCAACTGTGGAGTCCAGCTCATGACGAATCTGAGCAATTTTCTCCTTGAAGCGCTGGGCAAAGTCGTCACAGTGGGCAGTTGATGGGGGCACAGGATCTTTTTTGGGGCCTGGATGTATTAGCCCATGTACCGCTTGAAAAAGCTCTGCTGGATGGCACTGTGAGGAGGCAATGGAAGTGGAGAAGAATTTCTTCTTCACTGCCCTCACTGCCACAGCGTAGGCTCGATAGTGAACATGACAGTAAGCATGTTCAGTCAGATTCATCCCGTGATTTCCTCCACCTGCGCTTTAGACATCTCCCAACCCGCTTCATCGCCTGTAGTTCAGGTGTATAACATGGGGATGAACAGGCTCTGCCGGACGGGAGAGGACGCTTTGAAGCGATCATGTCAATAGTTCTAGCCAATTCCCCATTCCACAGCTCAACCAGAGCATCAACAGGAGCGCCAGCTTTATCAACCAGAAAATCCCCCAGAGCCCTCAGGAATCCATCTGGATCCATCCGGCTCCGAGGGCAGTCCATCATAATAGGGTCCACACCCTTATAGAGGGAAAGGCCAGCTCCCAGCTCAAACCTCACGAGGAAGTGATCTGATCATGACAAGGGAGTCAGATGCAAATTTCTCACTTCCAAATCACTCTCTTCCTGTCCCGTCGAGAAAACCAGGTCCAGAGTGTGACCTCGTTCCTGGGTTGGGCCAATGACATGTTGAGACAGCCCCATGGCTGTCATGGAAGCCATGAAGTCCTGAGCCACCCCAGTCAGAACAGTCTCAGCATGGAGACTGAAGTCCCCCAGGACCAACATCCTGGGGGTCCTCAACACTAGGTCCGAGACAATCCCTGTCATCTCTGGCAGGGAGTCTGATGAGCAGAAGGATGCATGGTACACCAGCAGAATCCCTAATCTGTCTCAGTTGCCCACCGTCAGGTATAAGCACTCTAGGCCTGGTCTTGAGGGGAAAGGAAGCCCCGCGAGGGAAATTGCAGCTCGATGAACCAAAGCAACCCCCCTCCCCTCCCCTCCCGGTGTGGCTGGTGCTGGATTAGATACGCAGGTGGGCACAGCTGAGAGAGGGCTACATCCCCACCCTCTCCCACCCAGGTTTCTGTAATGCAAGCCAGGTCGGCCCCCTCATCCACAATTAGATCATGGATGAGGGATGTTTTATTATGGACCGACCTGGCATTTAGCAGCAGCACTGTCAGGTCCAAGGGGCCATTGATAAACTTACCCGGAACCTTCCGGTTGGGGGAATAACCAGAAGAGGGGACAGATACCAACCATTTTATTGGTTATATATTGTTTTATTATATTGCAATTGATTGTGTTAGTGTATTCTGATTTTAATATTGTAAGCCATCCTGAAATGTCTCACATATAGGATGGCATATAAAAGTTTTAAATAAATAAATAACTTTTGTCTCAAGTGAACATCTGTGTCATGCTTCCATTTATTAAGTGAAAGAGGCAAATGTATAAAGACTGCCATAGGCTTGCCCAAGATGACTCCACAGCATTATGCATCTATCCTTTTCGGTGTTGGTATTACTAGGAAGGGGTCCAAGAAACACAGCTGTAATGTGTTTGCAGGCTAAGATCAACATTTATACTAAGATTATTAAGTAGTTAAAGAGAGCCTACATTGGAACTTTGACAATCAAGAACACTACTACTAATTATTAGAGCTATTTGGCATTAAAAGACACCTCCTAGGAATTCTTGGCTTTCTCCTTTCTTGGGGCTTCTCAAGAAAGAACTGAATAGGTATCTGTTAGACAAGCATTTCACATAAGTCCAGAATATATTGGGAATAGAATAAAGCTTCTTGAGAATCTCAGCTTCCATAGTTAAAAACAGGTTTATAATTCTTACGGATGTGCAGATATATTTAAAAGCTGGCCACATATAAAAGCTCAAAGAGATTGTTGAATAAGATAAAAAGGGAAAGAACTTCAGGACTCTGCCTAGTTCCTTGCCCTTCCCCATGACCACCAGATGCAACCTATACTAAAAATTCTACTACAACTTAGAATCTAAATAGCACTTTAGAGTATTCAACTTTCTTCACAGGCATTTACCTCATTGTAATGACCAATGTGTCAAACCAGTATTGTGTTTCCTATTGCAAAAGATTTATGACAGAAGTAAGATTCAGACTGGGGACTTCCTAAGCCATAGCTCAGTCTCTCAGCCATCTGCACCAGAATAGACTATACAGAATGGTATAGAAATGTTGCCATAGAAAAAATATATTATATATTGTATAAAATCTATAAAATAAAGAAAAAAGAAAGTCTGATAACATTCTTTGATGGTTGTTCGACCTAGAACAAGTAGTTACACTTAGACACAACTGAAATCACTGGGATTTCAGTTAATCATGAAAAAATAATTACATTGATTTGTGTGTGACTAACTTGGTTTGGATTCAAGCCATGATTTACAGACTTGGGCTTGTTTTTCCAGTGCAGAGTACACACTACCCTGTCTGTGGGGATATGGATGCAGTGACCCATCACATTTGTTCCAGTTCTTAGTCGAAATCACACACTGGACAATATAGTACAATCTGATTTTTTTTTTGCAAACTAACAACCAAATAAGTTATTTACACTCTAAGACACTCTTGGTAGAAGATCATCTACTTGGTGAGAACTGATAACTTACTGCTTGTGCTTGTTTAATAAAATCAAGGATGTCTTCTTTCAAAGCCTGGTGTATTTTTGCAGGGCCTTTATCGTCCCACAAACAAACTCCATGCACATCCCTAAAAAATATGTACATGTAAGTCAGATCAAAAGAATTCTGAACATTTTACCTATACAATTTCAGTGATAAATGGTAACTTAATAACATGCCTAGAAAAATATATATACACTCCTCAAAGAAACTAAATGAAATAGCAATACAGCACTTGCCAGTGTCTGAAAGGAACAAGGACACATGTCACTTTTTTCAATAAGTTATTTCATACAGATATATGATCACAGACAAATCTATAAGTACAACAATAATGTATGAAGGAAATCAAATTGAAAAAAGAAAAATAATCCTACTTTGCACTCTTTCATTTGCAGAGTATTCTAACAAATGTGCACAGGACAATGGATTGTATGAACCTGGGATAAAGAACTATCTGGAGATGTAAGGACAACACCCCTTGTCCTCAAATAGCCTGAAAAAGGCACACAAGACCAACCCCATATACATAGAGGAGGAAGTATAGCTTAGCACTAGATCACATTCCTGGAATCTTCAAAAAAAGGTACTGTGGTTCTGCTGTTCCTCACTGGATGCTCGTAAGCTTGGACTCTGTAGAGGCAGTATTGATCAGCACAGAAGATGAGCTTGCAAACTCTCTTCCCCTGAGAAGTTCTGACAATTTGGCTCACTTCAATTGCCCACCACCTTTCCCTGCTCCAGTTCTCCAACAATTTGACAGGCTCGAGAGGAAGAAGTCACCTCTCACCAGTGATGCCAGGTTTCAATTTAAATGCATGTTCCACAAATATTTCCCAAAAACATTTGTTAAAGATATACAAATGAAGTGCTGCTAAAAGCTGGTTCTTAGGTTTAAGGCAGCAAAGCCATCACTTCATTAATTCTTACTTCTTGCTTATTTTCATCTTTGAATTTACTGCTGATTAGAATTCCATTGAGAACAACAGCCCATGCTAGACAAAAATATTTACTGTCCAAGCACTTAAAATTACTTGAAAGACGAAACATATCAAAGCATGGCAATTTATTTTAAATACACAGAAATACCCAGCAAATCACTGAAGCTTTCTTACTATTCAAATTTTCACTGCCAATTACCAGCAATTTAGAAAACAAATACTTGTTGTGAGAAAGCTATTTTAGCATTTTTCCTTGAATAATTTTTTCCAACAAGCTATTACAGAATACCAAATCTGTATTCCATTCTCCAAGAACTGTGAATTATAGAAATTACTTACGAAAACAGATCAAACCACTGCTGTTTTGTGACAGATTCCTGGCGTAAAAGTTTCAGAACAATGGGGCGCATGAAATCCCATTTGTCTTCAAACTGAAGTGAACCTTTGTTCTGCCAAGAAAGAAAGTATCAATTTAAATATAGTTCAAATAAACAGGAATATTACAACCTAATCCTATTCATATTTATCCAGAAGTCAATCTGACTTTGTCCAATTGGACTTACTTCAATATGTGCATACAATTAAATAGTAGTTGGTCAGCTACTACCTGTAAAAGGTTATCCTGTGAAGTCCTATGATTATCCAGTCCTATTTACAATCCTTAGTGGAACATACTTGGTAAGAATCACAGCACACACTTAGTTCTTACTGAATTATGCAGCTTCAGACTTTGAATATAATGAACTAGCCATCCTTTAAAGCTGCTGTCACAAGAAATTTAGTTTCCACTTTCCAAGGATACTGTCCATGATATAGCAGCAGGTATAAATCAGTACAATAAAATAATAGTCCAGAACTTAAACAAGAAATAAACTAGTAAGAGCACAATCAATGGGTTGTATCCTTGATACTCATAAATTCCCAAACTCAGAAGCTTACAAGCAACCAGTGAGGAAGAGCAGATGTGATCTCAACATCCCTGCACCTTCTGCTCTGTATTTCAGCTAGGCAGCTGTTTCTGGAATTCCAGCTGAAGCATTTCAGAGAGGAAAGGAAGGAGCCTGGACCACAGTCAAAGTTCTTCATATCCCAGGAGCACCAGTATCTTCTCTGCCTACTGGAATGCAACCCCTGCCCTAGGTTGCATTCCCTATGTCAGAGAGGCATCTTGCAAAGTTCCTTCTGTATCCGGTGTGAGTGGGAAAGAATGAGTACAGTGCAGATTCCTTTCTACAAGGTTGAAGCTATGTCTCCAATTCTGCATCTGGGAATCCAAATTATCTTACAGCTCTCCAAAATGTTTAGTGGCCAAAAGATTGCTCTTTAACCCATCAAGCCACAAATGGTGGCCCATTAAAGATAATAAACACAGCTTCATTGCTTTTTGCATCTGCAGTGTGGCCCACATGTGTGTTTAATTATAATCCTATGACCAGACACTATAACCTAGAAATCTGGGCCACTTCACATCATATGTTTTAGATTTGAAAACCAGCTCTCAAGTACAAATGTTCTCCAGATATACCCAACTTTCAAGTGCACTTTACAACAGATGACTATGCCTTCTCAAATGAAAGCATACAAAGAAAGGATGCATTTAGACACAACTGGACATAATGCTGCATTGCATAGAATATTTCATCTCACATTTTTTCTTGCTAAAGATAATGGTGGCAGAGCAAGTCTGCATAAATTCTCATGGTCTTGGTTTGAATGCCAAGAAAGCTGAATCAGAAATGCAAGAAGCTATTCTCCTTTATACAAGGCCTAACAGTGGTTCAAAGGAAGTCACCATCAAACAGGCAGCAATCAATATAGGTGAAACTGTGAATGTAGGCTAGAGCAGGGACCAGATACAGTACAAGTTGGAAGTCAAGCACACAGCAGAAGGCACTATATATGTATCTATCCAAGCTGTGCATTTGCACCAACCCAAATATTCATTTCTTCCAACGGTAATGCAAAATGGGAATTCAGGTGGTTGAAAAGATTATTGTAATATATTATCATGCTATTGGAAATTTGGATTCTCAAGCACTGAAAAAAATTACTAGCCTATTTGTTCCTGTCACAGTTTTTCTGTACAGCATTAAGAACTATTTTTTAAAATAGCTCAGTTTAAGAACACTTACAAATTCATTCATGCATGAAAAAACCCCAAAACTGCATATTAAGGTGTCCATAAAATTTTCACACTGTATAAGCAGCAAACATATTATACAGTCACACATATTATGCCCTCTTTCAACTTACTTTCTGTAGATTCCACAGTACCATAAGAAATCATAATCCTTAGGAAAAAAACATCAGAGCTGAAACCTTAAGCACTCTTCAAAGACAAGCTCCATGCACAACAAGCACTTCTAAAATAAATAAATAACCCTGCACAAAATCAATGTTGCCCCCATAAAATCTGTTCACTTTAAAACAGTTATATCCCACCATCTCCTCAATGTGGCAGAAACCATCTTTGTTTAGAGAAGAAGGTTCTAGGTATTGCATGGCTACTCTTAACTGACAGGCTCAATTGGGACTTTTAAAGATAGCTTCTTCAAACAATAAAGCTTCATAAAAATTGGAAAAGACACCTGCAACTTTTCCAACTCTGCAGGAACATTTAAATGGTAAGGAAAATTATAGAAGGTATGCTATGAGGAAGCAAAAGCACAACATCAATGATAACAAAGGTCACAAGCAGTGAGAAATGTTTAAATTGCTGTATCTTGGTCATTTCCCAATAGATTTTCCTGAAATTTACTTTGTAAATTTACTTAGCATAAGTTTACTTAGTTTACAAACTAAGTAAAATAAACACTTATTTGTTGATACATTTGAACTAATACATTTTGAATGTTCAAGGCTTATCATGGCAGAATATTTTCTGCCTTATCTATACAGGCACTATTGTATACTATTATACTATTATGCCTGTATTCTGTGCCTGTTTAAGAAACTAGAATTGCCTCACTTTCCATAGCCATAATACAAAAAAGAGAACAGAAGGAAATCTAGCCTGTTTGTTATCACAACAGGCTAAATTTTAACTACTTACTTACTGTAGCTACAGAGAGGTTACTCTGACATGTTTCACAATTTCAGCTATAAATACTTTATGCAAGTGTCCTTCTCTTCCTCGCCACTAACCCCTAGAGTCTTCCTTCTAGCTGACTGGGAATACAAGCCCTCAGGTCAATTTACAGCCTTTTCCAAGAAAAGGGATCCTGATGAATAAGGCAAATGTTTGATAATTTTATACAAATATCAGCTGCAGGAAGGAACAAGACTATGGCATAAACTGACAGAGAACTTAAAAGGAAATACTGCTCAGATTTTGAGTACCATCCAGGACTCACTTCTGAGAGCACCATTTATTTAAAATAATGGCACAAAGGGTTTTAGAAATGGTATGCTGCTTCCCTCATATATCCTTTCCTCATATATCCATCATATGCTGCAAGTTACTCTAGGGAGCCATGCATACTAAATACTGATATTCTCAGAGTTCTATCCCCCAAGATAGGATGTACTGTATTGGTTGCTAGGGTTCACATATTTTGTGATACTCCAGAAACTTACATCATGAATCTGAAACATGAGAGATAAATCCCAAGGTTGCCTAATTACACCCACAACGCACACTGCAAATCTGGTCTTATTACTACAGGAGTGGGAAACTTGTGGCCCTCCAAAAGTTCTGACCAGCAGTTCCATTCATCTATCACCAGTGGTTATGTCAGCTAGGCCTAATGGGAATCACAAGCCAAAACACAGACATGCTACAAGATGCCCATTTCCCCACTATTTAAATACATATTAGAGTTGCAACAATAAAAAAACTGCTATCAAAGATGCAGGACATATAGGAGAGAAGCAGAAAGATGTAGCTATTGTACAATCAAGTCTGCTTAATTTAGAAATAGGCTCTGGCTCCCGTTCTTTTCCTTGTCAAAAGCTGGAAAGCACTGAGCTTGGCAGGTGGCACTGACAACTGGAGTTACAACTTTCTAATCTGAAAGACCAACTAGTGCTGGGAGATGGAACAAAAAATAATAGGCCTGGGTTACGGTAAGGTAGAAGCTACATGCAGATAAGAACATGTGAAAAGGGTTACTGCAGCAGCAGTATGAGTACCTGGGCTAAAAAGAAAGATATGGCACATTAGATCCTTGACTACTCAGAGGCACATTCCAACAATGTCACTGGCTTACTCCCACATAAAAAACAATTTCCCAACTGTAGCCATGTTAGTTAGCAAAAAACCAACAAAAACTAACAAATTATGCTGACATTGACTTTCATAGGTGGTCCATAATCTCTGAGATCTTACATATGAATGCACAACAAGACTCTTTGTTTTTCTTTCACAAATATACATGAAAATGCAGTTCAGTTATTAAACATATGAAGGTGGCACATAATGCATTAATTTAGGCTTGGAATTATAGCAGATGAACAACCTCACTTAGTGCCTGATCCCACATGTGTGCCTCTGTCCTGAAGAAGGAAGGAAGAGGGATTCCCCTCCACCAGAGGGGGATGATCACTCACAGGGCAAGAAGTAAGACAAGGGACGGGGGGGGGGCGATATGCCTCAGCAGCTGCTGTGACCCTTATCATGACTGAGGCTCAACTCTCCCTCCCACACCAAAGGCAGGAGAAAAAATGTCACCCAACAGTCCCAGAGACTAAGAATTTTGTAAAAAGAATCTGGTTCTTAGTGGATGAAGAGGGAGAGCACCGCTGCATTTGGAACACAGGATGGTAATGCAGAACGGATTCCAAAATCACATAATATTTACAGTTAACAAGATACACTATCTAAACGAATTCAATATTTATCTTTACTATCTCTCTAAATAATAAGTTTATAAATCACCTAGAAAGACAGAGAATATCAAGCCTATTATATATAATCAATATGTCAGGCAGCTATTTAGTCTCAAGTTCAGGTGAGCATTGCACTGCTGCTCAAATGAAAGCCCACAAGTCAGATTGAATATACAGAGCTTCTGCATCTTCCATTATTTTGCTCTCCCCTTTTTCCTTTCTATTGTTCTTACAAGCAGCTATTCATGCTCCAACTCCCAGATGCCAACCTTTTGGGTTCAACCTGCAGTGCAAATCTTATTAAGAAGACTAGGAGAGAGCAAGATTTGCTTCCAAACCTTGGAAGCAGCAGCTATGGGCAGCAATTCAGAAACTGGGGTTTGTTTGCCAAATAATCTGAACAGTTAATCAGAAGTATGAGCAAGAGGTCTCATCTCCTGCTTGTGAATTTCCCACGGAGAGATGAATGGTCTCTGCAAGAACAGAACGCTCATCCAGATGACCCCTTGGTCTGATCCAGCATTTCTCTTTAAGTTGTTTAACAGGAGTACTATTCAGCTGGGATGGTCAACCTGTGCATTTTCAAGAGCTATGCAATTCTGCGAACACTGCATCCAACATTCCTATACATGGTAAGGCTCTATTATAAAGTTGGCAGCATTGAAGTACTGAGAAACAAATGTATTTTCTGAAAGAGTCCTTCACAGGCCAGATTAACAGGAAAGTGAACAAGGCAGCAGTACTGTAAGATTTCTATGAAATACACATTCTCATCACTTCTTTTCCTTATATGTAAAACTGCTAGCAAAAATGTTTTCACACATCTTAATTAAAATTGTTCTGGACAGGATACTTCAGCTGACCAATCACTCTCACAGGTAAGCCATCTGCTGTAGAAAAGGGAGTTTACTTCTTTTGAGATTTTATTATTCTCACACTCTCAATCATCTTGCATTACCAGGATGCTTATTGCCCTTGCTTTCCTTACATTCCCCCAACTGCCTGTCCTTCTGATCAGTAATTCTCTAGCTCCAGCATGTCAATTCTTACCATGCATGCTAGCTACCTCCTACAAATACCTCCTTCCATGCTCCTGGATGAATTCATACAGGATTTAAAGTATGAAATACATGACTGGTTAAAGTGCTTTTAAGAAAGGATGATTTTATCAACATTTTCAGGACAAACTTACAGGTGAAATAGGAATAGATCAGATCACTCTTAATACTAACAAATAAACAGAAACCCCTCCTGCTATAGTGTAGAGGGGAGGGGATGATCTTGTAAACTAAACTGAAAAACAGATATGACAATAACCAGATGTAATCCACTTCCACAACATATTCTCTTATCTCTTACACTCCAAGGAGAGGAAGTAACTGGTCTGACCCAGCTCCTCAGACCAAACTGAGAAACTATAGCAGTTCATTACAAAGGAGGGAACAGAATGATTCTCTTACCAGATCTGTGTGCAGATGCAAGTTGTTATTTGACAAGATGTAGCTTCAAATAGCCCTGTAACATTTTCGAGCTCCTTTTGCTTTCTGGGTCCCTATTACAATACTTATGCCTATAGTCTTCTACATCAAACTCATTTCATGACCGAAACCTATCGCAGCAGGCAAGCAATCTCAGTCAGTCAATTGTCTATCTAGTCTCTCACACCCCCATGTATATACGAATACACACACCTCATATACGTGCACATAAACACTCTCTCCCCACGTAAATATGCATATAAACACACGCACCAGCCCAGCTATTCCCACCCACTGCCATGTCCGCTTCTCACGCTCTTCTCCCCTCCTCCTCTTCCTCCCCTCCTTATCAAGCAAGCAACTCCTCCCCGCGTATCATTCAGCTCCCAAGGCCGGAGGTTTCCTCAGCCAGGCCCGGCCAGGGGTTGCCTCTCTCACCTTTAACAGATTAGACGTCGCCATGTTCCCCCCACAACAAACACGCAGGCCGGGACGCAGGCGGGCACGCGGCGGGGCCTTCTCAGGCCGGCTACGGCGCTTTCCCCTCGCCGGGGGCTGCTCTTCGGGCTGGAGCCGCTCTCGCTTTACATGGTCTCGGCCGGCCCGCACGGGACGGAAGCGCGAGGCGAGGCTCGGGACTCTCCGGCTGTTCCGTCGGGGACTATCTGGCTTCTCCTTCCCTTCCTGCCGCCGTTCTCAGCGCCTCATGGCGCCAACAACCCAACAGGAGGAGGCTCCGGTCACTGGCGGCGGCGGCGGCAGCGGCGGCAGCAGCAGCAGCAGCGGTCCGGCTCCGCGCGAGGGCTGGCCGAGCCCACATGATGCGCCTCCGAGGAGCCGGATGCTCTCCGCCGGAGGAAGACCTCGGCGTCAACCAACAGCGCCCTCTGCCGAGCGGAGGCCGCATTACGCCTTTCCCTCAGAAGGAGCTTTCGCTGGGCGACCCCCGCGGTGCTCCTGATCGTCTGTCCGCGAAGGCCGTGGCGACTCTCGGCCTCACAGAATTCAGCGGCTTTAGGGCGCAATCCTCTGCATTAAGACAGGCAAAAAAGGCCCTACAACTCCGAGTTAACCATGCTGGCTAGGGCATGCTAGGAATTGCAAGACCGATTGCTATCTCGATGTGCTGGGGAATTGCCTGTCATGGTCGTAAGGTACAATGTTGGGCATGTTTATATGGAGAACAGAAAGTCCCGCTATTCCGAGCTCTGGAGTTGTAGGACTTTTAACGTCTAAATATGCATGAATTGCACTCATAGTCTCTTTTCTCAGGGAACCTTGGGAGTTGTGCTTTGAAGCAATCTTCAGTAGTGAAGTTCTCTGTCATGCACCGTCATTCTCAGGATTCTTTGGGGGCAGAAGCTCGTTGCTATAGCAGCAAAACCAGTGTGAAACCAGTACAACTTTGTAGTGTAGATCAATAAGGGAAGAGTTGGTGAGATATACTTTATTGCTTTCCACAGAACGCCAATATCCACACACAGGTGCTTGATGTAAAAGAGATCTATTTAATGGGCAATGTTTAGACAGCAAAATGAAGGGGGAAAAAACTGCAGCAAGGCTGACTGGGGATAGCGGGAGCTATAAGACCTTTTCCTATCTAAAAATAGGAATGTGCTCTTAGAAAGTATTCATTTGTTGCATTTCTATGTAGCATCAGAAGTAACTAGTAAATCATAATTTGAGAGGATTTGCTTCATAAATTGTTCTATACCAGCCCTCCAGGTGTGTTGGACTAAAACTCTAGCCATCTGTTGGACTCCCTATAATTTCTAACCAGTATGCTTGGATATGATGGATGTTATACTCCAACAAGTCTGGAGGGCACTGATTTAGGAAGGCCCTGAATTTCATGATTTACATATATCTCTTCTGCCACCTGCCAGGTGCATGGTTGAACAGGTGTTTGTGGTTCAGAAGAATTAAGAATTGGCTATTCACACAGTAAGAATATTTCTGCTATCTCAGGCTTAGAAAGCATATTAGAAAGCTATCTGGAGCTCAAACCCTAGGGCTGTGTTTTGAATATATGTATTGACTCACACTTAAATATCTCACAGTTGAAACAAAGTACCTCATTAACAAAGAATGCCAAGCCGGCATAAACCAAGGTCCTCACTTTGCAAATTAATTATTTTTCCTATTAGGATGATGTGTGAGTTCTCACTGAACATAGAGATCTGTGTGGGAGAGAAGGCAAGCAACTTGTCAAAATAGATGAGATGCAAAATAAGGCATCTCTGGGCACAAGCACTCTAGGAGATGCTCTGTGCAAGATTACTGGTCCAAGGCCAATTACTCTAAGAAGTGTGGTATCTGAGGGGTTTGTGTGTGCATGTGCATATGTGTGCATACCTTTTCCAACTTACCTCCAGGAAAGTATGTAACCAGAGCTTGGAATAAGCAACATTACATTCTGGAATTCCCTGCCAGAAGATGTAGTGACGGCCACCAAGTGAGACAGCATTAAAAAGGAGTTAGACAAATTATTGTAGGATGAAGTTATTAGTGGCTACTAGACCTGCTATAGCCAGTATTAAAGGCAATATGTATATGTACACTGGTTGCTAGAAAACCCACTGGCAGTTTTGTGGCATTCATGTCCTACTTGGGTATTGATCAGGCAGCTGCTTACTGTGTGCCAGAAGGATGGACTAGCTGGACCTTGGTCTGATCCAGCATTGATTTTCTTACGTTCTAGTAATATTTGAAGCCGGAACTAAGCTGTGGCTCTAATTTATCTGATCCATTTGTTGCATAATCCCTACATCAGCTTTTCCCGCCCTTGGTGACCTTCAGTAGAGCTGGCTAGGAGATTATGGGAGTTGTAGGGGATTGAACTCCCTTTGAAAGAGTTCATCGCATGGAGGTTCTCTGGAGCCATCTTTGTCAATTGAGGCTCAGGTAGCCTTGATGGCACAGAATGCCTGCTACCAACTTTGGTTGATGGCCCTACCTGGGCAGGGGTAACCTGGCTTCAGTACTCTATCCTCTGGTCACCTCCAAGCTAGATTGCTGCAATGTACTCTCTGTAGGGCTGCCTTTGAAGATGGTTCAGGAGCTGTAGCTTGTATAAAACATGACTGCCAGACTGATAAAAGGGGCCAAAAGTTTTGAAGACCAATCCTGGTTCATTTACACTAGTTCTCTGTATATTTCCAAGCCTGATTCTAGGTTTTGACCTGTAAAGCCTTACTGTCATACCTGATGGAGAGCTGTTCCACTATGAATCTGCCTATGTATGATGTTTAACATCTAAGGTTCTCTTCCAAATGCCTCTTCCAAGAGATGCTCAGAAGGTGGCAACAGGGAAGAGGGCCTGCTAGATGGTGGCCCCCACAATTATGGAACAATCTCTCCAATGAGGCTGCTTGGCACCAACATCTCTTCCGTGCCAAGGTAAAGTATTCTTCTCTCAGGCATTCTGCAGCATATAATGCTTTAATCAGGTATTAATTTTTCCTTGCTATTTTCAAAATTGTTTTCAGATATATGTCAATCTTTGTGCTATGTGTGTGAACTTATGCTATGGGGTGGTATAGAAATGAAATGCAATAACAATGTTAATGATAATAGGGGTTTATAATACATTTTTAAAGACTGACATATTTGTAAACCACCTAGAGAGCTTCAGGTAACAGGCACTATAGAACAGAAGAAATGAAATGAAAATTCACCATGTTTCTGAGTATGTCTGTATCTTTCTAAGGGCTGGCAAACAATTTAGTTGTTTCCTGAGTTATTTGGAATGTACAAACAGTTCTATAATATGTAATTGTGGTGCTTTGTACTAGCTGTGTGCTTCACATGGCCATCTAAGGGGGCTTCCCATAAGGTCATTATGTTACCTAGCTGCAATGAATATCAGCATTTACCAGGAGCAGCAGGCCTTAAATTTACTCTTCTCACTTTCTGCCACATTCCTGTGCTAGTACCATGCAAGTTCCTTGCAAGTAGCCATCTTTTCTGTTCATACATCCACATAACTTTTCATAACATACCCTTGTATATCAGCTATGCCTTGCACTAGAGATCAGATCTCCAGGAAATGTTTGCACACTGAGCTAATGTGCTGACCAAATATGCTTAACCATAGGGGCAATTAGAGTGTTTCTCTACAGAAATTTTATAGTGCATCTAAATTAAATGTCCCAGTTTTGTTTCATCTGCTTTATTTAATGAATAATAGGACTGAGTGTACTTTTCCTTAAGCTTTGCAAACTTTCTCCTGTTTAGTTTAGTTTAGTTTAGTTTCTTGGTTCAGGCAAGAGGAATGTATGACCATCCAATCAATTTGTTGGCCTCACTCCTTTTTATGGGCTTATCTGCAAGCTGACATATAACCACATCTTTTATTTGGAATTACATTTTATCTGTTATGCAAATTAAGCACTTTATTTACATGATTGGCAACAGAGTACTCTCTTTTGTATTGAAGCCATCCGTTTTATACTTATTAGTTATACAGATAATTGGGAAAATATATATTTTCTCCAAAACTGCTTCTTTCATGCAGATTCAGAAATATATTAATGCTTATTACCCCTTTTCATCTTTAATAAGGTTTCTTGTTACAGAATATCCAAAATGTTTATGGATAGAGCGACTGTTTTTTGCTTGATTGCTATACATTTATTTCAATATGAGCAAAGAATTGCAATAGGAAAGTACATGGCACTGATGCAGAGACCCACATGCGCTACAGTGTTCACAGGACTGGCCTGTGATTGTGGAAGCTTCACCGAACCTGCCTGGAGCTAACTCCACTAAAGTGCCTGCAGCAGGAGAACTTGGTGCATGCAATGGCGCCTGCAAAATAAGAACGGTAACAAGAAACACTCTACAATAAGTTCTTGTTTGTCAAAATAAGACCAAATGACCCAAAGCAGGGATTCTTCAGAATGCAGTCCATAATCCATAGTTTTATTTTAACCTCTTTTCAAAACGTGAAGTCTAAAAAAGCATGTAGTTAATAAAACTGGTAATAAGAGCATTATAGAAAATATCCTACTGCTTAGCAGTTTTTTGGCATGTGTGTATGTCTCTGTTGTAGTTGTTTTTTGCTGATAATAATCCTCACTAATAAAGTACTCGAGTGGTTTGGAAGTAAAACTTGGTCACCCCAAAATAAGGGAGTGGTTTCCTCATATTTGGGGGATGCCCAAATATGTAGAAGTACATAAGTCTATGAATCAAAAGAAAATAGATTTAAGAATCAACACCAACACTACTTGACAAGAAACAGTGAACTTGCCTAAAGGATTTTGAACCCGAGATCTGCAGACAAGATTTGGCTTATCCCAGACCCCAATATTGCCCTGTGGGGTCCCTAGGATGGCTGTACCCCATACCCCTTACTGCCAATCACTTGGTGAGTTCCCATCTTTTGTGTGTGTGCGTGTGTACATTCCCCTTTCTAAATGTATGAAATGCTTAAACCTTGGTTGCTTTGCACTACATTATCTCAGTATTTTTGCCCCTGCCCCTTTTTGCTTTAAGCCCACCCACTACAGTAACATGGCATCTGAGAGCTTCTCCAAAATGTAATCCAGTGCTTGGTCTGAGCAAGGTCAAAAGCAGGCATGGGATGTGCACAGGAAATTGACCTATAAACAGGGTTGTTTCTAAAACAACCATATCCAACCCAACACTGTTCAGAAGTGTTGAACTACACCTCCGAGCCTTCTCAGGCTAACTGGGGAAGATGGAGTTGCCGCTCAACATATTTGAAGGTTGCCAGGTGGGGGAAAGCTGAAAGACATCAGAAGTCAGGCAGCCTGTGTGAGTCTACCAATCAGATCTACAAAGCAGTTCAAAACATAGTCATGTGTCAACTGAAAGCAAAACCGAAAAGGAAAAGGGCGGGCAGAAAAAGATATCATTCCCATCATGGGTACATTCAAGGCTGAATATGTATAGCAGAACACACAAGCTTTCTACTATATGAGGATACAAATAAGCAAAACACAACATTTAGCCACCATTCAGTGATTTGCATGTGCCACTGTGATCGCAGACAGAGATAACAATCTCATGGAGGTATATGTAACATGGTTAGCGCTGAGGAATTCACTGAAAACATAAGAGGAGCCAAAGGTTCACTGCAGAACTGTTGCACACAGTTCATGCAATTTGCATGTCATTTTCACGCACACGGTGCTCATCAAACTACAGGTAGTGGACATGTTACACTTCTCACAACAACATTCATCATTTCAACGTCCTGAAAAACAATGAGCAACAAAAAGGTTGAATAAACCTGAGTCAGCCCTTAAAAAATCTTGATATTTACTTCAGAAGTCGCAAAAGTTGAAAAAACAAAGAAGTCGGCCTCCCTTTAAAAAAGCCACACACCTTCATCTTTGTTTTCATGATCTTTGCTATCCCAAATCTAAGTATGCTTTGCTTTATAAGGAGCTGTGATTCTCAAATCTTAAAGGAGCCCACGGGTAGCACATAAGTATCTCACAAACTGTGAGCAGCTGACAAGCCATACTTCACTGATCCATGATCTAATGCATCATCATAAATAAATCTTTTGCACACACCAGCCTTGCCTTCCAAACAGCTGATATGCAACATGGCTCTTTGGCATGCAAGCCATTTAACAAGGACATTTTTCTCCCAGTGAGGTTGCCTCCTCTGAAGAATGTACAACATTAGGAACAAAGCCACTTTTCACCCCTTCCCATCCATCCTGTATCAAAATTTCTCCTTTTTTCACAAGTTCATATATGTCTCTTGTGAGAACTGTGAAGGATTCTTCGACATTGGTAGCATCCTTGGCTGATGTTTCTATGTATTTCATGCCACAGGTGGATGCCAGTTCTTCAGCTTCCTCTCTTGTAACCTGGCGCTCTGCTGCCAGGTCACATTTGTGTCCCACCAAGATGAATACAATCTGGAAGGGCTGAACATGCATTTTCGCTTCATCCAGCCAGTCATACACGTGTTCAAAGGAAGACCGGTTTGTGATGTCAAACACCAACAACCCTCCTACTGAATTTCTGTAATAGGAGCGTGTGATTGATCTGTAAAATTAAAAGGGAAAGACAAGTTCAACAGAAATGTAATTACTTTTCTTTTTTAACGTTTACTTCTGAAAAACAGCAGGAGCCATGGTGTGGTGGAGTCAGGGCTGGAAGGCATGCAGCGCCATCACTTTTTCAGCAGCACAGGTGCTGGCTGATGTCATCCGCCACCCCATCACAATTCCGTATTTTCTCTGAGTTCAGCTGCAACCTTCACAGTAGTTGGGGTAAAATTATTTTTCCTAGCAACAATATATTGTTCCCTGTTGTAATGCAAAGTGGCTTCATCTTGAAATGGCAATTAAGTCCCATTAGCTTTACCAAAAAAAATTTCCCAGGAGAAATTAAAACTGCTAGAACTGATTCCTGGATATGGATTAACAAAGCAACCTGAGTTTTTGGACTTTCCTTGGGGCATCAACTATGGGACTGCCATGATGCAAGTTTGTCCTTCAAAATATACACTTGAGCAGGAGCATTCTAAATCTGCAATGGTTTTGGAACAAAATTAAACACTTGCCTTACCGTTTTTTAAATAAGAATTTGTGAAAACCACTTTCTGGGGGCAAATATCATACAATTTATGTTTAAGGTAACAGTGGGCATACTGGCTTACACATATGTGCTTCCATTCAACATGACTAAGACTACACTTCACAACTCCACATCTAGATCATTGCAAGCAAATATGGTCCTCTTTAAAAAAAGATATTTGTTTCCCTACAGCCTTTCTGGTGATATGGGAACAGACATTATTAGAGATGCATACAGGGATACATGATAGAGGTATGCAAAATTATGCATGGTGTAGAGAAAATAGAAAGGCGGGCATTTTTTTTCTCATAATAGTGGAAACCAGTGGGGTCATTCCATGAAGCTGATTGTGGCTGGTGATTTAGAACAGATAAAAGGAAGAACTTTGCACAGCACATAGCTTAACTGTGGAATTCACATACATGAGATGTGATGGTCATCAATTTGGATGGCTTTAAAAGGGGATTGACCAAATATCAATGGCTACTAGTCCTGATGGTATATGCTGCCTCCCATATTAGAAACATCAGAAACCATAAACCCTTGGTCTGATTAGTGCAACACTTCCAATGTTCTTATTTCTAGGGATATAGTTGTAACAGCAAGTGTAATGCCTACAGTGGTTCCTTGAAACGGCCTACTTGAGCAGTTATCCAGAGATTGTTCTGTTCATAGTTAAGCACTGCCAGCTGTCTTCTGGATTCTTCATCCATCCATTTTTATCTGCTAAGTTGCACGTTAAGAGAAGATCAAAACAATATGGAAGAAATGAGAAAACATTTTACAAGATGCACTTGTAAACAAAACATAACAGCAACAAAAAAGGTAACAGTACACTATCATTCTCTTCATAAGTAGAAGTTTTGATAAAAGAGCTATTCAAATGTTATTTTCTGGTTGGTGATTTGGCAGAAAAAATTGCACCTTGTTACAAACAAGGGGCAAGAGATCCTATGAGAATCTTCTGGCCCAAATTTGAGGCCCAGGAACAATTTCTCCCAACCTGGTGTGCTCCAAGTGTTTCGGACTTCAACTTCTGTCAGCTCCAATCAGTATATCCAATGGTCAGAATTACTGGGAGCTGTATCTGGAGGACACCAAGCTGTGGAAAAAAGCTTGATGGGAGATAGTCAGCTACATTTCCTAGGTGTAAAACAACATACAGCACAAGCCCTACACATATTTATTTGATAGTAAGTTTCACTACGTTCAGGTATTTCTCCCAGGTATGTAGATCTAGGATTTCACTGTTAATTTAAGATGCATAAAAAGAAAGCAGGAAGTTGCCAAAAAAGAACAGCCCTGCAGAATTCAGCCTTCAGTGCTAAGAAATACAAAGGTGATCCAATGTATGGCCACTTTTATAACTGGTGTCCAAGGAACTGAGGAGGCAATGGACTAGCAGATCGGGGTTATAGCACGTACAATCCTTGGCAGTGCTAAATTTTCTTCATTCTCACACTAACCTTGTGAACGTGAGTTGACTTTTTTTCCTGTTTGACAGATGAGGAATAAGCATTTAAAAGATACCAACTCACAGTCTGATCTTCTGAAAATAGCAAAGGTCTATCATTGCAATAAGGATTTGCTTATTTTCTGTATGAGTATGTACAAAACCCTGCATCGTGCCACAAATTGTGCCAGTGTACGCACTGGGATCATCCTATCTCTTGACAAAGGGAGAGAGAGAAGAAGTTGGCACTGTGCCTCAACAGCTTTTCTCCCAAAACAAATGCAAGGGGCATGCAGGGAAGGTGAAGGCATCAGCGTGTTATTCCAGCATGGAGTCCAAGCCAAATTTTGGCCACAGAACACTGGATCAGGATCAATTGGTAGTATTTCCAGTTATCATCTACTCAGGTGAAAAAGGTAGGAAAACCTCCTGTGGGATGTCCTAGTCCGAAAAAAAAAGTTATTGGGCTAGACCAGCCTTCGTGAACATGATGCCTTCCAGATGTTTCGGACTATAAAATTCCCGACTATTGGCTGTACTGGTGAGACTGATAGGAGCTGAAGGTTGGAGAAGGCTGGGTTAGAGGAGGGATGCAGAACCACTTTCACCAGAGGGCTGAATTCTATTTTGGGGAATAGCCCTATTCCAGTGGTGGGTGGGGCCTAAGAGAAAAGGGGTGGGGCAAAAGTACCAGTGTGCTTTAGCCTACAGCTACCACCAGTAACTAAGCCTTTGGACAGGTGTTTCAATCTCTTAGAATGGAGGAAACATGCTCAAAAGCTAGGCAACCATCACATGACTGATAGTTGGGGAAAGGAGGTGGAGCCAAGAGAGAAAGGCATGGCCATCTGGAATCCAAATGTAAAGAATATACAATTCTATGCTCTTCCCTGTCATCTAAAGGTGGTCACCTGTCCTTTTACACTGGAGAGTCCTCTGTTTCAGGGGCTGGCTGAGAATGGTTATTTAAAGTTGTCTTATATTTGAAGGACTGACATTATAGGTCTTACTTGGTCACAGTTCTTACCATTATCAAAATATATTTCTACTGACAATATAATACATCATTTCTAGATATCCACTGAAACATGTAAATCAACATACAAGTTTCATTCAGATCTGTGTCCTCTGTTTTTGTGATGCATTTCCTCTTTGGGCACAATGTACCTTCTGTACTCTTACAACTCTTGTGTAAAGCTGATACAGGAAACCTGTATCAATCAACCTAGTGGACTGGCCTATCCTAAGCTAAGCTTTTCTTGATTTTAGATGCAAAATGTGGTGTTCATTACACCCTAGTCAAACTTGTACTTCTTTTATAACAATCCACTCAAATGTCAAGAAGCAAAAATGCACTCTTCAGCAAGGCCTCAGTATGGTATGGAAATGTCTTGAACATCAAAGTAAAAATAATTATAGTCAATAGAAGACATAAAATAATCCATTCCCGAAATAGCATTATCCACTGAGTCAGGCTGGACATGTACAGTAGGCAGACTCCTTGCTAAAAATATATGGGCCAATGCAAGCCAAAATCTGCTTGAACTGAATTTTGAGAATGAAGCACACCTGACTTTAGGCACTTTTTGATGTCATGCATTCTTCTTGTGCTATCTAAGCAAAAGGTCAAGGAGCTGTGCACGGACTGAAGCTTTTGCCCCTGACCTCCAAGATATCTGCCCTGCTCCCTCTCCCCTGGTGGCTCCTTCTGAAGTTTTATCAGGCTCCGGCATCAATGTTTTCAATTTCTGGATGTAAGCCAGAGAACTACTTTAGGCATTCAGCAGTATTTTCTCTCCCTCTCCCCCAGAATGACAGATTCTCAATGCTGCATCACATACTGGCTTTTTTCAGATGTCAAGATAAACCATGGTTGATCAGGATGGGAATATCCAGCGTCTACTCGAGTACACACACTCTTCCCTCCCTTTTTTGTGCTACAGCTACAAAGAAGAGCTCTGAAACCTAATCAATCTGGTATATAATAACTATGGTTTGTCTGAAACAAAGCCCAGTTCAAACGATGGATTATGAAGTTCAGGATTCAGATAATATGAAAAACCGTGGTTAATCTGGAATGGAAGCAGAAACTTTCAGACAAAGGAAAAGACCTTCTTGGTGATGGTTATGGACCTTTCTCCCCAGAAGGGTCCACCTGGTATCAACACTGTCATTTTTCTGATACCACAGTAAGATTTCCCTTTATTCCCAGACATTTGACAGCAAATGATAACATGTATTTTGGATCCTGAGATTGTTATTCCTGATTACACAAAACTGTTCTGCATTTTATATGCTATACTTTTATATCATATTATTCTATTGTACATTTAGTGATCCTATGGCCCTTAAACATCACTGGAAGCAGGGGGTAAAAGGGCATTTTAGATTCCCAGATGTTAGAGACAGAAGTCCACATTGGAGAAGGCAGGCCAAAGTCAGATTGTCCTCCTCCTCTCACGGAATGAAAAGAGCCACGCCAGCTGTCTCTCCAAGGCCAGAAAACCAGCCTCAAAGAGGGCTTTACAGGGGTGGGAGGCAAAGAGACTGGGGCAGCCAGGAGATGCAGTAACTGTCTTCCAGCATCCTTTTCTCCCTTCCTGAAGCACCTCTGCTAGATGGCAATGCCTAGACGGAAGTGTGGGGAGGTGGAGATGGCCTTGACCACTCCTTCTGCTCTGTACTGGATGCTCCCAGGCCATTGCATTAGGAGGCTTATAAGCAACAAGGGTGCAATTAATCAACAGGTTTGTGCCGTTAGGGTTTTCTTCATTGCAAATCTCTCAGAGTGCTTTGGCTTGGGTGGTACATAAATGCAATGAATTTTTAGGAGGCTGAACTTCTGTGCTGGATATTAGATTCTGTTTTTATATTCTTAAGAGTCTATTGATGCATTCAGTTAAATCAGATGATAAAGAGTCCTATTTCATAGTTTGTGTGGGGGACTGCACATCTGAATATAATTCTCCTGTCCATGGAAAATTAGCATTGTAGGTAGAGGATTCCAGGGTAG